CAAAGCAAGTTTGTAGAAAGTGGCTCGTCATTTTGCTTTTCATGTAGATGGGCTAGAAGCGTTGACATCAAAATGCAAACGCGAGAAGCAAAGAGAAATTATAGACTCGAAACGATGTTTTCTCGACATACTTTTCATTAGTTAATTTTAATTACTAAACGAAATAACGAAGAGAGCTTTTCCCGAAGAAGAGTCGATTTACTTTTCCAACTATTACCATTAAAGTCTAAAAAAGTTTATCTGTATGTTTATGTGTATAATAAAATCCAATTTATCGCATTTTTACTACAGCGATAAGATCCACGTCATCGCATTTTAACGCTTTCTTCATTGAAACGCTGAATGCGTAAACACGCTCTCTATGTTGTTCAATTATAATGTAACTGTACAATAATAAATCCAAGTACAAGACGCAGCCGTCGCTCGGTAATACATCGCGCGTGCGATCTAGGAATTCATGCAGCATGCAGGCACTGGGCAGGCGTTTGAATTGAACGAAGGACGATCGAAAGGAGAGCGGCCGCAGGCTTCGCGTTGCCTAAGCCTTCGGTTATAACTCCGATCGAGCGGACACTTCCTCGCCGTGTCCCGGTCGTGAAAGTATATCTCGCACGGGGAAGTGCACGTTAAACTGACCATGTAAGAGTTTTCGAATTACGCCAGCGCACCGGCGATCGGGCCGATAAGTACGCGCGTTTGATATTCGATGTCGGGTGAGAAACGCTCGTCGGCGTGGCCCCAAAAAGGGGAAGGATCCGCTTGAATGATCGCGTTAACGCGAACCGCGAAAACACGCTCTCGACACGCTCTTTTCGAGATATTTCCACGTGCGACTAGAATTCACCACGGTCTCCCCCTTCATAAACGGGCGCTAAAAATCAAACCCCGTGCCTTCGCGATACGTTCACGACGCGTGGACGTGCGTGAGATATTTTGAAAAGTTACCGAGTTACATAAGTTACGCATAACAATCTCGTAACGCTCTTATAGCATTGTCTCTATTCATTATCTCATCAGTGCGGAAAATTAAACTCATTTCAAAATGTCTTGTTCGCGACGTGAAATAATGGCATTTAGCACTTTATCGATGGTCCTTTTGAAATTTTAAGAATTTTAATTCTCAGATCGTAGCATCGCCCTTGTCATTCTTTAGATTTGTCTAGAAAGATAGACGCCGATAGACGGAATTATAGGATATTGGTAATATTACAACAATTAAAAAATAACGTAGATGTAAATTGATGTTGTTTTATTACATGTAAATATTCTCTCTCTTTATTTATAAATGCAAAATTCATAAAAAAAATCTTGCTCTTCTTTTACGGAGAGAAACCCTTCGGGTGGATTAAGAATTTCGTTAAGAATTCCGGAGCAAGTCGAGTAGAAACGTAACAAAGCATGTATTGCGCGAACGACGTCGCGGTCGCGCTCCGTTTGCCCGTTGAAAGTGAGTTGAACAAGGATCTTTGCCCGCGCGCGCGAGTCATTAATCCCATTCCCGAGTAATGCGAACTGATTATCTATTACCGCGATTTCATTATTCGCGCGTACATGTATATCGCTGCCCGTGGCGGAGCGATAATGTCCGGCGTTAAAAGCATAAAATATAGCCTACTTGGAATCGCGAAGGCGAAGGCTTCGGCGCGGCGTCCCAAGTGGAATCTCTGTCGCATAACGCACGGAGCTGATCCCCGAGCTCGTCGTCTCGCAAACATGCGTATGCAAACAGCCCCTTCGCGCGACGTTCCGCGACACGGAAAAAAGGATAAAAGGGAAAGAAAACGACCTCTTTTTGCGAAACGACCGATAATAATTAAAGCACGCATCGAATCGGTGATGAATTCTCTCTCGCGCGGACAGCCCAGATTAAAAAGGAACAACGCGAAACGCGCGCGCGGTTTATTACTTTAATCCGCTCGCTCGTTACTCGCGGCGTTGCTCTTATTTGATATTTACGCACGAATTTCGCGGCCGATCGTCGATGCGCGTCGCCGATTACTACCGGCGAGGTAGCAATCAACGTGCGGCGCACAGATGTACGTAGCGTTTTACGGAGGTGGATTTTTCTTCGACCGCGGCATCCTCGCGTTGCGCGTCGCGACCTTAAACGCCCACCGTTAAAATAACAGCGCTTAAGGATATAGCGATACACTGGCGATACATTGCGCATCTTTGGCGCGGGACAATGGGAGAAGATAGCGATTTTTAACGCAAGACGGAATATTTATGTTCCTTACTATTTTATCGCGGAGATTACCTCAGCCACGTATTTCATTCACGTTCGTGGAACACCACTTGTCTATTATATACACGCTTGTACATCCTATAGCCGGTTTTATCTTATCGTTTATTAACGTTGTATTTTATTCCTCGTCCATTCCGGCTGCACCGGCCAATCTCCGACGGACACGGACGTACTAATCCAATTTATCCTTTAATCAGATTTGCCTCTCGATGGAAGCAGCCGCACATCTCACAATCATCACTTTACCGCGCGTCGTTTGCGTTTTCTTCTTTACGCCTCATTCTTACCTTTCGCCCTAAGCGATGCCTCGGGGTCGTGCGCGATCGATTCGCGGCGATGCATCAAGCGGAGCCAAGAGGCAAAAGAAAGAGAGGGAGAGAAAGAGAGAGATAAGCTTAAACACCTTGTAAGAGCCAACCCGCGCGGCCATGGTAGCGCCGGGGAACCCCGCCTTAATTTATACTCGCCCCATGCGCCGATCTATTAATCCCGGACCGATTGTGAAGCGTGGTGAATGTGATCGGCCGGCCGGCCGGCCGGCCGTAATTATAATTATCCCGGCTATTTGCGGCTGCATAACTCACGGCGACGCGCGGTAAAAACGCGACGCGCGCGCGATCGTAGATCATTTCGGCGGTCGTTACGGGACGCGCGATTGCCGTGATTAATGAGCGCACGCGTACGATAACGCGAGCACGGCTTTGCAACCCGTTTTTCAATTTTATTGCGGATTACATAGTGGCGCGAGAAGAGAGAGAGAGAGAGAGAGAGAGAGAGAGAGATGGAGAAGAGGGAGAAAGCCATGGACGAGTTACGGAGAACGTGCACATAATTCTTTGCGAGTCTTATAAAATTAGAGAAAATTTCCGCCCAGGTCTCCGTCGCGCGCGGAAACGCACGCGGCGCGAGGAAAATTGCCCCCGTTTCTCCGACTTTTGCCTCATAAGATGTCCCGCTTGGAGCTCCTGCTCGTCGAGCGATTTCAACAGCTGTTCAATTAACGCTTCATCATGCGCGCGGGTTTCAAGAGAGCGCGACGTACTCACGTATATACTATGCCGTGTATGATTAATTATCTCGAAAATCTGCGCGCGGCGACAATCGGCCGTATCGCGGTCGAGCGAGAAATTTGTCGCGGGATTAAACAAGCTTGTGATCCCGATTTAATTTATATTCGCCCTCGGACTTTTTCTCCGAAATCTCCTCGTCGATCCGATCGCGCCGTTTACGCCTACGGAACTATTCTAGTTGCGACACCCTGAAACACAATACGAGCGCACCACGACCGCGTGGACAACAAAAGGACTTCGGGATTGAATTGCGTATACCTGTGGAGGTTGCTCGTATTATTTCAATGCTGAGCAACAGATAACTAGAAAGAGAGACAAAAAGAGAAAAGAGGGGGGACTTTATCTCAACCGCCGAGGTCTATAACCGATCAGAAATTATGTAATGATTGCGAAAAATACGTGCGGCAATAGAGGGTGACTGAAACGAGCCTTCGCGTCTATTTTCTTTGATTTTTTTTTAAGGAGCAAAGCGCAGTCGAAACACTCGAAATTTATTTTTTTTCGAGAAGATATAAACTGCTATTTTATGTTTTTTTTTTTTTTTTTGTGATGTGTGCAAAGCACGTTCAACTTGCTTTTTCGATAACACGTACATCATTTGTTCGCCATGTAAAATATTAACGGAAACTAATCTACGTAGCAGATTTCTTTGTCGAGATCTAATCAGAGAAGGTGTCGTTGTCCTTACTTTAGATTGTTGCATTATTTCCGTAAAATGTATGTTCCGTAGAATGTATATTACGCGATTTATTTCCCTCTCTCCCTTGACACATTGATGTGTATCTCGTGCCTTTATTGTAGTGCGAGATGCAATATCGCGCTCGTTACGTTACTTCTCGCTGCTCTCTATCTTCCATTCAGGCGTATCCACAAGCTTGCCTCCTTCGACACGTGCACCGAAGTAAATATCTATCCCGCGGGATTTTTATCCGCTAGTATATTGCGCAAACCGCTAATAAATTATGCCCGCGCGACTCGGCTTTAAATGCACGGTGCCGCGGCGAAATGCGCGATACTTCGCCTTTCACCTTGCTTACGATAATGCATTCTGTCTCGTGCATTGTGAGCTCGGTCGGGATAACCGCCGTCGTATTATCGTATGCCGTACCTCGAGCAACAATTACGCGGAAACGGCCGTCGAAAATCGGCCGCTGAAGACCGTCGCGGTTTCCCGCGATTAACGAAGACCGAGTAAAAGTCACGTCGCTACGTTTTTGTATGTCGCTGAAGAAAGCGCTGGTGATGGCTCGCAAGTAGAAAGAATATATCAAGCAAAGAATACGATTTGGCTCCTGTAAGTTTTGTCACAGATGCACAAGCGGTTCAATCTGAGAGAAAGAATTGTTCTCGAAAAATACATATATAAATCAAAGAAATTAAGGTCGTTTCTTTTCGTGAATCGGATGTACTTACGGAGCACAGAAAGCAATATTAGAAAGCGCGTCCTCGCTTTTTCCAAGATTTTCAAGCAGTATAACTCGACTTTGCGAGACAAATCCCTACGTGCGTAAATATTGCTGTTGAAAAACATGCACGTTCGATATCAAATTCTGTGAAAAATATTTTCCTACTACAGAGGAAAGAGTTGCTACACGCAAAAAAAAAAGAAAGAAATTGAGAACGCCTTGAAAATCACATTCTTATTGATAATATATTACAAATCATGTCTACTGTCTAACTTTCAGAAACAGCTCGATCCTGGGACAGGCTCTCGCAGCAGCTGATACCAACGAATTCGGTGTACGAGAAGCAAGACCGAAATGCATCGCCGTCCAGCAACGGGGTCGATGCATCGCTGGCGCATTCGCTGGCGGAGAACAATGTGATGGACACATCGAAATCGAAGGGGGGAGGCGATCACGTGGAGACGGAAGAGGTGGAGGAGGAAAAGGAACCTAAGCTGACGTACGACGCCGAGGAATACGAAGATGAAGATAAGCACGAAGAGGAAGAGGTCGAGGGGGATGGAGAGGAGGTAGAAGAGGTAGAAGAGGTAGAGGAGGAGAAGAAAGATCCCTCTGATACCGTGAATGGCGTAATGAAGAAAGAGAGATCTCCGCCGGAAACTAGCAGCGTGTCGAATACCGATGCGATAGACAGGGATGGGGATTACCTCGAAGATCTCCCGACGAATCAGGACGACAATACGTATTATTATTACGACGAGTACGAAAACGCTAATCGTACCCGATACGACAACGCAGGTGAGCCTCGAATCGGTCGTTTCTAATCACCGTAATTATTATTATTATTTATTTCTCCTCTCGTGGATACACACGTAACAATCTTCGTATCACAATTCTTGTATATCATTAATTTGGTGTGTCATAAAGGATCTCAGATCTTTTTTCGAAAATTCTTCGAATAATAATCTCTTCTTATTTCCTCGGTTTTAGACGGCGAAAACGACTATCTAAACATGGAATCTGAAGAGGAGGATGTCACATCAGGGAATTTATCGTCGGAATCAGAGCACGGAGCTCTTGAGAAGAGAGATAAAGACGTTTCGCACGAGTCGACTTCCAACTCGTCGCGAATCGTCGAGGAGAAGGAGGAGGAAGTCGACAATCCGGTATCGTCGACGGAGTTGGAGGAAGGCTCGTCCATGGAAGGCAGTGACAAAACGTTCACTACACTCGGTGCGTCTGTCCTCGAGGAGAAGGAGGAGCCGGAGAACGTCTCCGCCGAGGTCAGTTCCATCCTGATAGGCGGTGCCGTGGTGTCCGTGGTGACCACGAAGAGCGTGGTGAACGGCACGATATCGGTGCCGACGACGGTCTCGCCGGCCACCACGGAGCAAATCGCACCGCCGCCTCCGTCGTCGTCGTCATCATTAACCGAGACAACCGAGACAACCGAGGGACACCCGGAAGTGACCACGGAGGACTCCGCGAGGATCCTAGCTTCCGTGCAGACCAGCCGCAGCGTATCGGGCGCGCGCTTCCTACCGTTTCCAGTGATAGATCGCGTGGAGCAGGTGGAGGCGCACGGCGGGTCGCTTGAGGGCAAGAAGACGTCGCAACCACCGTCCACGGAGAGCATCATCGACAAGCTTGACTGGGCGCAATCCAAGCTATCCAGCGATCTCTTGCCGGCGGCTATCCTGGGCACCGGTGGCTTCCGAAACGCCGGCAACACGTTGCAACTGGACGTATTAGCCGAGCGCGATCGCACGACGACGACGACGACTCGCAGGAGTTTCACTACCACAGCCAAGACGCCGGTTATCAGCAAGTTTATCCCACGACGTTACAACGACAAAAAATTGAACAACACTAGCACCAGCACGGCGAAGCCGCGATTTGAAACCACGCTCGACTCCCTGGAAGGTTTGCTGCCTCGAACGTACGTGTCGAGAGGAACCACCCCAAGTGCGGTTTCCAAGATAACTTTCAGGTTGGATATGTCGCATAAATTTTTGAAAGGATTAAAAGATGTAAAATTTGCGAGTGTAATATATATTTATCTATAGTCGCATATCAGATAAATAATAATTGGCGGAAATGAGTTTTATCCACATATAAATTTTTGAATTATCAGTAACAAGAACGACAAAGTACGCTTATTAGACTTTGCAATTGTATTGATGAATCAAGATTCAATTGATAGTTAAAAAAGTTACCAATGATAGTTATTGTCATTTTTCTTTCAGATGGCCTTCTTCGAAACCGACGTCCACGGAAGCAGCAGAGACAAAGACCACATCGACGACACCACGAACGAAACCTAAAGCCAGCATTGTCGTCCAAGATATTAGCGCATTCCTACCGCCAGGATACAAGCTAAAAAAAGAAGAGATAGCTGCCACGGAGAGTTCCCTCCTCAGTGAAATCCTCGCCAAATCCAAGGTCGACATTTCGTTTCTCCTACCACCTGGCTATGACAAAAAGAAGGTTGAGGAAGAATCCAAGTCAAAAGATACTACTACTACTACTACGACGACGACAACAACAACGACAACAACAGCGAAAAGTACAAACGTCTCTCCAGAAAAGATCGCCCCGTCTATCCAAGATCTCTTCGCGTCTTCCAAATTCGATATCTCCGCCTTATTACCTAAGGATTACGAACAAAAGAAGGACCTTGAGCCGGACAGCAAACCTACTGGCGACGCGAACAGCGAGCAGAATGTAACGGTCACAGAACGAACCGATTCCGAGCCTACCACGAAGAAAGCCAGTGGCTTGAAAATCGTGTTTCCCAGCAGACCAGGCGGTCGAAAGCCGATTCACAAAATAACCACTCCGCAAACTCCACGTGGGGACGGTCCAGGCGCGGTGACGCCAAAAATACAAAAGGGATGGCCGACTCGGTAAGTCAGTCTTACAACGTTACACCTTAATTATTATTAAAAGAATAGCTCTTCTTTTAGTGATCTCTTCAGAAATTAAATTCGGAAACGTCTTTTGTTCACATTCATTATGAATTACAATTTTTCGTTCGTCAAGAATCATGTTACAAAGTAGTGCAAAATAGTATCGTATCTAATAACAATCGTGCTAAGAGAGAGACAAATTTCAGAGCTACTACGGAGTTTACCGGATGGCCAACTCCGTCCACCACGCCGATCTCTATCGAGAAGTTACTGGAAGCAGCGCGCACGGCTACGGTAGCATCGGTGAACATATCGCTCATTCCTAGCACGAACGAGATTTCGAGCACGTCGTCGACATCGACGACGACGACGACGACACCGAGGCCGACAACTCCTGGCGTGTGCGACGACGAGTGCGAGGTCGCCGGGACGATACGTATCATTGGAAACGCGACGTGGGTGCCAGAACTGCTCGATCGGAACACTCGCGAATGGCAAGAACTTGCGAATCACGTGGAACGAGAGGTACACCTTTGGCTAAGCTTCCCATTAACTTTACGAAACATGTTTGTCACATTTAAATCATACATATATATATATTTTTTTTTCAGATGAATTTTATATTCTCGAAATCCAGCGTTTTAATGACGTGGTACAAAAAGATAAGGATTGACTCCTTCAGGTAATCTTTTATAATTTAGAGCAATGGTGTCAAAAAATAAGCATGGAAGATAATTTTAGAAGTGTAATCATTATTTGCACAAATAGTAGATTCTTATTGTCGCATAGAATTTTTTGCGAATCGTACATTAGACATCACTATATCATACTTTAATCGATTTCGTATCAAGTCTCAGCAAAGATATAATGGTTCACTTTCAGTCAAGGCAGCATCCTAGTAGACTACTTTGTCGAGCTAAACAATTTACAGCAGAAAGTGAACACGCAGGAACTTAAAGTGATTTTCCACGACTCGCTCAGGACATACAACGCCAATCGGTGGAATGAAACGACCACGAAAGGTCCATTAAGAATGGGAATGTTTACTATCGATCCTAAGTACACTGATTTCGTAGGTATGTTATCAAAATTTTCTTTCTCTTTAATATTTTAATTGTTAATTATACCTACATGTATTATTTTTCTTTACAGTCATACCTAAAGTAAATATGCCACAATATATCGAGAAAGATGATAGATTGATACCTCAATGGGCGATCGCGGTAATAGTGATAGGTGTCGGAGGTTTACTATTTATTATCGTGTTTGGTGTGTCTGTGGTAAGTGTCAAGCGTGCTCAACATCTTGGCGCAGTCATACAATCAGAGATAATGAATGACGTCACTTTCCAGCTCGTCAACAGACAAAGCGGATCGAAGCTGAAGCCGACCATGTCCACCATTTACGAGGAAGAAGTGGCTAAGCACACGTCGAGTCACAGATCGAGCGACTACTCAAAGCCGGTGCACACAATATGGACCGATCCCGACGTCTCTTGGAACGACAAGTCCTTCGAATCGACTTCTAACAAGGTGAATGAACGCGCGACGCACGGTCATAAGACGCGTGCATATCGGACGTACGGTGCTTACCCTGGACTCGTCCCTTTTTCAGATTCTGGTTGACAAATCCTTCCACGATAACAAGAAATACAATATGTACGACAGTTGGCGATCTGAGTGGAACGGTTATTATTACAATCCCTCGCACACGAGCAGCAAGTACGGTTACGACAGTACCATGAACCTGTCGACCCGTCACCATCCTGATTACGACACGAATTTCTAAACGGCCAATAAACTGCAATTTCTTCTATCAATACCGAGATTTCACTTAATTTATTCGGCGCCTTAGGTAAGCTACGAGACCCATTGGAATATTTGCTCTATTCTTCAACGATGCGCGTTCACCTCGTGATACGAGATCATCGATATATTTACATTTATATTTTAAACATATGGATTTGTATTTTCTCGTACATCTAGTAATACCTTGTGTTCATTATTTCGCGACATCGAATTATTACCTATTAATTCTTCACTATTTGCCTTAATAAAGGATTTATTTATTCTAGTCAGAATAATAAGTAATCATATTATAATCGGTCGTTCTCCATCAGAACCGATATTACCGTGACGCCAATGTATGTTGCCGCGATGCGTTTGAAATCGTAGGTGTGTAAAGTAGAATTAAGCGAAAAGAAAATGGCGATTACACCGACAGCGAAATACTTCCTGTTTATAAATGAAATGAGATACTGAGTAAAGATCAAACCATGATGTATGCTATCACAGTTTTATTTTTTATACGTATACATACATTCATCTGGTTCCACATAAAAATATATATAAAACTCGCATATATTATCTCTTGTACACAAACCTAAAATAACTTACTCAACATGGATAGTAGATTCCTAATCGACAAGACAGTCGTGTCTTCCTGAGTGTTAACGTGGTGTCTGAGCACACTCAAAAGTTTCTGATATAAGAACGATTGCCTGTCCGAAAAAAAAAATGGAATAGCATGAGTAAAAGGACATCATAATCATACTCGACAGTTATACGGTTTTGAAACATCATTGGCAGTCAGACAAAAAACAAGTCTTTGTTGATGATGTAATGAAGCTACGTCTTCCTCTTATCCAATGATGCTTTTAAACCGTACCGCAATCTAAATGTTACCTGCTAGCTGGCTTGCATATCGATAAATGATCCTGCGGAATCTCGAAGAACTCTCCCACGCCAGGATCTGAAAGATATAAGCAGTATATTGTTTTATATGCATGTGTGTTTATGTATAGAGTATGTTGTTGATAAGGATCTAGATAAGTTAGATTTATCTACACGTGCATACCATCAAGATAAGCTGATCTATAATCGATAACGACGTATGAAAACGGAATATCAACAGTATATATCTAATCTAAAGCATTACCTGCTGAATTAAGGCTGACGAATTGGAAGGGAAACTTCAGTGCGGTTACAAGGGTGGGTTTGGCCTCGGCAAAACTCACAATCTCTATGCGATATTCATTCAACATTTCTAGGAATTCCTCATGCAATCTTAGCAATTGCGGCGACTCTGGAACGTTAGAGCAATAAATTAGTTACGTTGCGCGTTACGTAGAACTAAAGACAGCGTGACGATTACCTTCACGTAGTTCTTGCACCTCGACCGTTGGCCATAACAGCATTTGCGTTGCTTGCTTCAGAGCCGCCACGTGCGAACCTCGATGAGGAGTAGCGTAAAATAGGATAGCCTTGGTATTCTTGCAGATGCCGTGCTTATCTCCAGTTTTCCACTCTACAAGCGTAATTATAACATGTAACGACTTTAACAATAGCAATAGTAATAATTTTATCGGTACATTTATCGAAGTATATAAAAATATATATATAAGTGTAAATTTTCAACTTATACATACCTTCTACAAGCATCTTTTTAATTAATAATCCACCCATTGAGTGGGCGACCCATATAAGTGGCCGCTGGCCCACGTTTGCCGTTGTCAATTTGGTAACAAATTCTTCGCTTCTCTCTTTAATAGTGCTCCTAATAAAAATAAATGTGACGCATCAAACATAACTATCGAAATATTTAATACCTGAATTTATCAGACGCAGAAAGCTGAAACATTTCCATGTACAGTACTTACTTCATGCTTTCTATTGGGCAGAAAGGAGTCCACATAGATAAACTCGTACCATAATTAACACCTATGATTCGTAAGGATGGTATGTCTACAGGTAACCAGTCTTTAGGCCAACAAAGTGTTTTAGAGTCAGGATCATTCTTCATACAGGCGTCATCTCTAAAGATATCGCGTGTAAAAATTTACAAATTATTTGCGGTTTACAAGCGAATCTTTCATCGGTATCATTTTAAGATTAAATATATAAAAATGTTAAATACACGAAAACACCTACCCTCTGCAAAAATAAGGTCCACACGCGAGAGCATTTGTGTTTTGCGGACAATCGTCCAACACCACCTCAAAATCTTGACCCGTCTTTCTCCATTCGCGCAAGTACAGATCGCGAGCCAAGTCTTTAAAGAATTCCTGAGGACGATCGTCATCGGCCATGGTAGACAAGTAATCTGTAGTCTCAACCGCTGTATTATCATCTACGATTAAACATATAATTTAACAAGATGATAAGATGAATAAAACTTGAGGACGTGTTTATAATCATATTACAGATATTGACAAACCTACAACTCCAAGCGCAGACGTCGCGACGTCACGTTGTCTCCAGGTAACGAATACTCCACCCAACAATCCATGCAAAAATACAACGTCCATTTTTGTTGCCGCGTGAACTCTGTGCAGAGGATAAAGAAGATAAACACTTTGCGCATATTTTGCTTTCTCGTTCCCATCCCTATCCAGATTCATCAATGCACTGATCGCCTGTGCCGACAGACGAATATCGTCGCTGTGGGACCAACGTGACAATATGCCAATCCATCCTAAGTGGAAACAATTATATCAGTAGTTATATATCTGTATATACAATAATATATCGCGGAAATATCAAGTCCATCTTACCGGATTCATAGATAGCCTCTAAATATTCAGAATGAAGACACATGTTGGATAATATCCTTGCGAGTAGTATGCACATTTCTACGTCATCACTGCAACGTTTCTGTATCGCTGTCAATATTGGCAAAGCTCCGGCATCGATCAGGTCTAAAATCCCAAAATTAAACAGGAGATATAGAGAGTGTGTCAGTGAGACAGTCTGTAAAATTTCGCAAAATTTATATCTCACGTTTGCTGTACTGTTCCACGGAGGAATGATGGCAGATCGCACGAATGCAACTTTTGAGCACGTCATCATCCCGAACTGTCGTCGTTTCCATAGAAAGACCCACGCTTGCCAGGTCATGATCAAACCATTCTACAAGATACTGCACATCAATTGAATAGATGGTTTCAGCATAGATGTTATCAAGTTACAATTACAAAATTATAATATTATATGTGATTTTATTATAATATTCATAGCCAATATTATAATTTAGAAATAATAATTTAATTTGTAGATATTTAGCATTATCTTCGAAGATTTAATTAAATTACGCTTTATGTTTACATTTTTTAAATTTATTATTTTCCGTACTTTGCTACTTTTTTTATATACATTCAATTTTATATACTTACTCGATGCGAATCTTTAAACATTTTACTAAGAAATTGTGTAAGGCAGAGATGTGTATTGCCACATAAAGCATTCAGACTTAACAGCAGCGAATGTACCTTTTCTACGACATCCTGTAAAAAATAATCTCATTTATCCTTAATATAAATGTAATGTTACAATGCTGGAGAATATTAGTAACGAGCATGTATGTATGTTATGGTATAAAAATGTTAAAATTAAAATAATTGAAAGTGTTAAAATTAAAACACGTATCACATACGTTTAAGTTGTACTGCACATGATAATACGGTGGTTGCAAAAAGAACTGTGAATTAATATTTGGCATTCTTGCGAGAGCTGCTGCTGTTTTAGCATCCATCATCTGTGCCAAGTGACGATACTGCCAATCTAAAAGTGAGATTTTCTATTCTATAGAAAGATTGCGTGAATCTAATATCTATTCAACGTTTAAGCGTTTTATTCTATATATTAAAAAGGGAAACGTACACGTAATCCCAGAGAAACATTGTGATGGCTAGAGAACCTACCTTTCAAATGTAACAAGGCACCAAGCTCAGTCACCGCTTTATATCGCTCGTTTCTGTCTCCGTGTTGCGCCATATATAACAACTTATATGCAAGCTTGTGATTCTTCTCCTTCCACCATCTCGCCAGAGTGTCGCTGAGGCTTCTTGGCTTCTCCGACGCAGGTCCATGTAGATCCTCGTCTTTCCTAAACATGAAGATGTCTGAAATCGGAGCAGGACCGATCAACGTTTGCACACATCAGCTGTGACTGTCATAGACGTACACCGTACACGTCACGCTCCGGCAGACGACTTACCTTTAAACTGAGGGTCATCGACGTAGATGTACTGTGCGCGGGCTTGCTCCAAACTTAGAACGCTCGTATCGTAAGTCGACCGAATGATCCGCGATATCTGCCGCAGTTGATACAGAAACCAGCAGCCCCTGCACGAGATACACGTCCAAGTTTCAAATACTCGGAGACACTCGACCTTGATCTTGACTATCTTGAGTGGACGAGTCACCTTGACAGTCCCTTGACTTACCCGAGCACCACGACGCAGATGCCACTCGTCTTCAGGTAGTACACATAACCCCTCGACGCTCGCATCGTTCACGGCCACGGCAGGGACTCGGGACTCGGGGACTCGCTCGACGAAGCGGTTCCGTCGCGACGCAAGGGTCTCCCACAGTCCTTACATTTCAAACTTTGAAGCGCGTCACGTCGAGTTTACTTGGCACGCGCACACGAGTGGAAAATTGGGTCTGTTTTTTTTTTAGCTGCACTTCGTGCACCAGTTCAGCACAGTTCAGTCGGTGCAGCTAAAAGAAACAGACCCATTGGTCGCGTTCAGCAGACCAAGGACCAAGCCGCTCAGTAGCGGTCGAATGTGCGTGGCTCTTACTTTTAGAACCAACCAATCAACGCAGAGTGTTAATAAGACGAACTCAACAGTTGTGCAACAGTTGTGTCTGCTGAACGTGCCCATTGCGTTCGGAAAGCGCGCACGGTCGAGCCTTTCGCGGAAAAACAGTTCCTGATTGGCGGATCTAAAAACCGTGCCGATCAGTGGCGAGTGGCGAGTGGCGAGTGGCGAGTGGCGCAACTTCTGAATGCGGACGTCAATTCTCAAGCTCTTGACACTTTGCCCGAATAAACAGTTCGCTTTATCCTTTTTGCCCTGCTTTAAATTATGCAAACACATCAATTATTATCTTCTCGAAAATATATATAAACAAAAATATCGAAACCAACACATCAAAACAATTTTTTCTCATTTCACATATGATAACCAAAACAATGATTCATGCTCTCGAAGAAATGCAAAGATCATTCCTCGCGATTGATAGATAAGCAGATAAAAAAAGGGCGATTCGATCCAATGAGATAAAGTAAACCTCGTGCGCCCATTTTGCATATTTCTTCGCTTTTCCTGATACGCCCTGCACTGTAGAAGGCGGACGGCGGACCTACGTGACGAAGGAAAGCGCGCGGGTCTTGACGAAGCCGAAGCACGCCGTCGGAGGGTTCCACGGTGAGTCCAGGTTGTTCACGTCGACCCCACGGACCCCGTTGAATGAGAGACGCGCGGGTGCACGATGATCCGCCGTCAGCAGTGATCGTAGCCGGCGCCGCGCGGGCCGCGCCACGACATGGCGACCGTCAAGGTAACGGAGCAGAAGGTTATCCTGTGCGGCGAGTACGGCGTCGGCAAGACGTCGATATTCCGGCGCTTCGCCAACAACACGTTCGTCGCCAGCAGCGACCGCAAGTCGACCCTGGGCCTCGACAACATCGACAAGGAGTACGTCGTCGAGGACCGACGAATACGCGTGAGTGTCAACTTGTTACATGCGTGGGTGTATATGTGTGCTGTGCATTGTGGGTCACTTGCTTCTTTTCGTGAGATGTGCACTGATCACTTTGTCCTCTTTTCATCGTTTTCCCTTTACTGATCGTCAAGTTGCATGTTTTCACTTGCCAGTGTCCCTTCCACAGAATCCGCGAGCTGCGTGCATTGAACTTCCAAGAGTGTAACAGACTGAAATCAGTAAGCGTATGTATGTAAATATTGGAGCGTTTGATCCTTTGAAAGTCACGCGACTGAATTTACATACCGATACATTAAACATGAGGCTCTATCAAGTCCTGCGCGACGTGCCTCACTCAATTGCTCGTCAAAGTACTCACAGAAAATAAATATAGCATGGTGACATTTCTGACTTTGCACCTTTTATTCTTCTCAGCTGCAACTATGGGACACCGGCGGTATGGAAAGAGTGGCGTCCGTTACCTCGAGTTACTACAAGTTTGCAGAAGCTGCCATTCTGGTGTTTGCCCTGGATAACTCGACGTCGTTTCATTTGTTGTCTCAACATTTGCTCGACATAGTTACGTATGCGGAGAACGCCAAGATATTCCTTTGCGGGAACAAGAGCGACTTGGAGAGCGTCGCGCCGCAAGTCACAGACGCAGAGATGGAACAATTCTGGTACTTGCATAGTTTCTAATAGTTTCCTAGTGCATATGCCTATGTTTATATGAAATTATAAAGAAATTAAATCTTTTCCAGCGAACAATGTCACAATCTGATCTCGGGGATATACAAAACGTCGTGCAAAACCGGCGAAGGGGTGAACGAGATGTTCGAGGATATAGCGCAACATCTGGTTGAGGCTAATCGATCGCGAATGGAGCTTCACGAGATGGACAAGGATCGATTTAAGATCTCGTATGTCGACGAGGCAACCGACCCATCGTGTTTGTGCTAATCTGTAATTAATACGTGCGAGAATACGCGAGTCCAGTCTTTGAGAATCTTCTAGGCTCGATGCGGCGTGTAAGAGAAACAAAGGGAAACGGAGCGAAACCTTTCATATCGAGCCCTTGTCACGCGTGACTTTCCTATGAGGGAAGGTTGCGTCTCGCGTCTCGCGGAGAAAAAAAGAGGAAGAGGGAGAATCTATAAACGTGAGGCACATGATATAAAGCCTGTTCGTTTTCGCTACATTTCTGAACTAGTGCAATAAGTTTGAATGAAACAAATATATAATTTTCTTTCATTCCAACTTGTTGCACTAGCTCAGAAGTGCAGCGAAAATGAACAGGCCTGTACACACGCAAGTTGCGTGTCACGGTCGGATCAGTTGTAGGATACGCGATGGCAAAAACTTTTTCGATTAAAATTTTTATTACACGTTGCGAAATTATATCTTAATCGACTAAGCTTCACCTATTAACGTGATTTACGATCGGTATTATATTATACACTTGATCAATATACATACTATATATACTTAAGTTTGTAAAGGCTACACGATAACGAGGCACTAGTGCTGTGTCCATTTGATAGTCTTCAAGTCGATGCCATCTTCTACCATCTCCCACAGTGGGCTGCAAGAAAACGAGGATATTGGAATTTTTGTATGGGCCTTCGTGTAACGTCGTCCCGGTTAATAAATGTACAATAGATATAGAGATAGAGTGATAAAATCGCGATCTCACGAAACGTCCAACGACAAAGTTGTTCCCTCCGCGAAACGAGATTACAACCGTTTCGATTCGTTAACGCCAAAGTATAACGTGTACGTAAGTCTAAAGTAGATCCTCTCCATCATGACAAACGCGTTACCTCATCTCCCGAAGTCGCTTCACATGCTGTATCGTGTTGTCCGCCGTGTAATCGATTTCCTCGAGTGTCGTAAATCGTCCGATGCCGAACCTAGTTAGACAAGTCGTAAATTATATCGCTAGAGTATGAAGCCATTATTGCTATATGTATAATGATCAGCGAAGTTTCTTTATCTCCAAGTATTATACCTGATACTGGAATGAGCCAGATCCTCCGAGGCACCGATCGCTCTCAGCACGTAGCTGGGCTCCAAGCTCGCGCTGGTGCAAGCTGAGCCGCTGCTCAGTGCCACATCCTTCAAAGCCATTAATAGCGATTCACCTTCCACGCAAGCAAACGATAGGTTCACGCAGCCGGGATACCAGGCTACGGGGTCGCCGTTTCGCACGACTTGTGGCAACGTTGACATTAACTTCTCGATCAGGTGACTCGACAGCGTATTGATGTATCTGTGATCGTACTGGAAAATACAGTGTAGATTTTTAATACCTTAAATGGCATCGATCATATGTAGCGGGACTTTGTGTTTCGCTTACGTCCATTTCCGTCTGCGCCAACTCGCAAGCGGCACCCAATCCTACAGCCAAAGGTGCCGGCACAGTACCGCTTCTCATCCCTCTCTCTTGTCCACCGCCGCTTTGCAACGGCTCCACGCGCACCCGCGGCCTTCTCCTAACGTACAGGGCTCCGATACCTTAATGAATTATTAGCAAAATAGATAAATAAAGACTAGAGAAGTACCCAGCTTTTTTTAATAAATATAGAACAATTTTTATAACTTGATGCAAATGAAAATTGTAGACAAGCTCATATAATTTCTAATATATAACTTCTAAAACAAAGTTTATCTTTTTTTGTCATAATACTATTTACTATCTAAAGCAACATATAGAAAAGAGAAATAGGTATATTATCTCTTCATAATAATAACGTGTATGATAAAGATTACCTTTTGGGCCATATAGCTTATGACCACTGATAGATAAAAGATCAATATTCATAGCGTTAACATCGATTGGCACTTTGCCTATGGCTTGCGCAGCATCCGTGTGGAAAAAGACCTTTCTCTTCCTGTATACGTAAAAAGCAAAATGATCAAGAGACAACTATAACAGAATACGTATAGCGTTGAAATCTTGATACTCACCTACAAATGGCGCCAATTTCTTCGATAGGCTGTTTGACACCGATCTCGTTATTCACCATCATTACGGAAACCAGGGATGTGGATGGCCTAATGGCTGCTTCCAATTCATTGAGATCGATAAGACCATTTGACTTGACGGAAAGATACGTTATGTCAAATCCTTCCGCTTCCAAGGCTCTACATGAATCCAGTACGCACTTGTGCTCCTAGATACACAAGCAACTATTTGTAGATTCACAATTTACGTTTATCAAGAAGGAAAAAATTATTATAAAAACTTCTCACTGTCTGGGTCGTCACAACATGATTCTTTTTGGATTTGTAGAACCTTGCTACGCCTTTTACAGCGATATTATTGCATTCTGTCGCTCCAGAAGTAAATATCACTTCCTTCTTTTCCGCTCCTATCAAATCTGCGACTTGCTGTTGAAAGCAGACGAATACGTCTCTAGATCATGTAACCGTAGAATGTAAAAATCTAAAAATACCGACCTGGCGAGCGTGCTCGACTGCTGCTTCCGATTCCCAGCCATACATGTGAGTTCTGGAATGTGGGTTACCGTGGTACACCGTCATATACGGCATCATCTTATCCAACACCCGGGGGTCCTAGCACGTCAACATCCTGTACGTTATTTGCACGCGCATACATGACGTACATACATCATATGACATCACAGGCTGAACTTGGTGAACTTACCAGTGGAGTAGTAGCTTGGGCGTCCAAGTAAAGAGCTCTACCTTCCATCGGGCCCTTTTTATACTCGTCCGTGATGGGAGCTACATCGAACAAGCGATCGCTATTAAAAACTGCGCAAGTTAAACCACCCTGCATCAACTGACAGTGTCAACGCCTCAACGCCAACACTCACATTCATATTCGGTGACCTCCGACAATTGTTGACCGCACGTGTGCAGACGGCGATCCTTGGCGCGACGCAACGCAAAGATCAAATTCCTTGTCGACCGAAACATCCTCAATCGTCGCCTGCGGCTGCTCTCTCATGAAGGTAAACCACGTATTCCAAGAGCTCGCATGTTACGTTCTAACCTCGCAACTCGCAACTTCAGCGCACCGTGTTTTGCCAAAACAACAGCGCCGAATATAAAGCGCCGTTCTTTTCTACGCGCTGATTGGCTGTCAGGAGAATTCTTTATCGGATAGCCAATCGAGACATCGAGAGGCTCATGACGTATCGTGCCTCCACGTGAGTTGCATGCGAGCGTGACAAATGCAGAATCGATCGGTTTTTTTTTCCTCCAAGGTATAAGATCAGAATATATGAATATAAGATCCTTGTCAAACTTTTTGAACATCACGAACATAATACTGCAATTCTCGTTTACAGTTGGAGTCAAGTTTTTTAACAACCTTACTATTGATGTTTAATAACAATTAAGAGAATCTCAGCTCAATTTTAATATATAACAATCAAAAGCAATTATTAACTTTTATTTGTATGCCTCATACTTTTATTTTTTGTTATACATAAACGTATTGTAACGTATCATTAATGCAACTTGAACAACGTTTACGTACTTACAACTGAAAAATTAATGTCAAAATTATCTTGAATTTTCTCAGAATTAAAAAGTTTTATTCATCACACAAGAGTATCCTGATATCATGTACTATATCTAATAGGGAATATGACATTGCAAAGTATGGAAAATATAAAAGAAGCGGTGGAAATAGCGACAAGACACTGATGGGGATTAGGACTTTTGTATATTCATACTTTTCTGCATGTTCCAAGCATGCTTCTGCGACCGCCTGGCGGACACGTCGTTTGGGAAATGGTTGTTATTATCACGAAGGGCGCAGTGTCCACAGGTACACATTCCAGTTGAAAAGTGATCTCGTTTACACCTAATACCCCTTTGGGCGCACATGGACCGCCTACAGTTCTGAGAGGATAACACGTACCGTTGTAGGGCACCACGCCGTCCTCCGAGCAAGGGTTCTCCACACAACGTGGGAGCACCTCGTTCTTGGGAAGTACGACGTACGTCCTGGATAAACATGGACCCTGCCTGTAGGCTTCGTAGCAGGCGTCGTTTAACGGAAAGTACAGGAATCGTGGCCTGCAGTCGCACACCCAGGAATTCCTTGCACCACTGCCTGGGTAAAGGAGCATGTTTTTCGGGCAACTGTCTGGTATTGACACGGGTATACGATCCGTTATCATCTGCGAGAATGAGTATACATAAAAAGAAGCTCTTAGAAATTCTGTATTAATATTATATATATATTACCGTAGAGTTACCACCGCTGACGTGGGACGTCTCTTCGTCAGTCGGGAATATAAAATCCTGGCCCCGTATCATGTACGTGTACATAAGAAATACAATTCCGACGTACAAACACTTCATCCTTGCTATCTCAGATGAGACTGTGCGAGAATGCCGTTGAGAAGAGAAGGATAGAGAAGTACAGGTATCCATAAACTTTGATGTAGACGGGGGTCAGGGATATGCGAAATGCCAGACATGGTTTTGCATAAATTAATATTAATATGTTCCTAACGACTAGGCAACGGTAAAAATATCTCGATCCGCTTCGGATCTTCTTCAACTCAATGATAAACTAAAAGAGAAAAACATCAGTGAGATACATATCCCAAAGAAAACACTATAATATAATCGATTACAAATTATCTAAACAGTCATTAGCATTTTAGAATTGTTTTCCATTTTTTTAATTGTACGTAATACTTCTAATATTGAAATTTAATATAAAAACATCGATACGTGGGAAATCTTTTAATGTCGATAATTTCAGGAATTTATATTTTTCAATAGGCTGAATATTTTATGTTGTAAAATTAATTCTTATTTTACATAATTAAAAAATTGCACAACATATTTTAATTGTTTCTAGTAAAACGGTTAGAAATAAATACTATAATTTTTCTCTTTATATATAATGAACTATTTATTTTAATATTTTAAGCAATTATAAATTGTCAGTTTTGTGTATACGTGTAATATTTTCAGGCATATAAAATTAAGCTAAACGGAATAGCTATTTGTATAAAAAATTACTTATAGAAGTCATTTTTAATGTCCACAATTCTCTTACATACGTTTTCATATATATTTTCATACCGCAGTACAAAATGCAAAGAATAAATTTGAGCACTAGATGAAACATAGAGATTTCATTAATAAGTCTTGTTGCCAAGGTCAGCAATATACGTGCCATACACTTTCTTATATATTAAAAAAATACTGATAATAAGATCTGTAATATAATTTAAAATGTAAATGATTAAAAATAACATTACGCGCAATGTAAATATGTTCTTAACACATTTCATAAATATCGATAATACTTTTTTAAAGCTATTAATAATACAAACGAGATTTGGATGCGCGCACGTCCTGATATTCTGTTCGAAAATTAATAGTCTCGAAAATTGGCAAATTTCAAGTTTTAGAATACGTTTCTACCAATACATATATTTCGAGTATACTTAACGGATTTACCGATCTTTCGAAAGATTCAAGGAATCTCCCAAGTCGGCCGCGTGCGATGCGTGTTGCTTTTTATGCAACGCCGTCATGTCCAGCATGCTTCCGAAATCAGATTTAACGCTCGATATTGTTAGATCCTCCGTTCCTTGATACTCGCCCGGTCTGCCGATCTTGGTCGGGTCGGTTTGCGCGTCCACGTTCTTTCGATCGTTCGCATAATCGTCGGCGCTAACCGAAAACGTTCTGCAAGTCTCCGACGAGCTGACACCCTTGAAGGGTGACGGACGCGCGTCGACGGTGACGAAATCGCCTGGCTTGCGTTCCGTACCGTCCATGTCCTTTGCCGGCGAGATCTTGCTGAGGGGACCGAACAGGTTTGCGATGTTGCGCATATACGTGGACGGCGAGGGCGACGAGGTTCGCGTGAAATCCGCGATGGAGAAGCTCGACAGCTTCGCTAGATCGGTAGTCGGGAAAGTCGCCAATTTCGTCAGATCCGAGAACTTGGTGATCTGTTGAGTGATATCCGCTAGCGGGAAGTCGGGCGTCGTCGACGTTCGGGACTTGGTACTGCCGTCGCCAACCAGATTCGGCAGTTTCGAGAAGTCCGCAGGTGCGAAATCATAGTCGCACTTGGCGTTCTTCACCGACACCGTGAGTTCGCCCGCGTGGAAGCTCGGTATTATCTCCGATGGCGATATATGCTTGGGACCCACGACAGAACTGCTGTCCTTTATCTGAGTGATGGACGCGGCATCCGTGGGGCCCAAGTTGCTGTCCTTCTTGATGCCGTCCCGAGAAGTCGACGGCTGTAGCACGAAGGGCTTGGACGTGGGCGTGATTATGGCACCGCCGTCGGGTTTGAAGTTGACCGGCGCGAGGAAAACAGCCGCGTTACCGGCCGTGAGGCCTACGCCAGGCGGAACTGGCGGCACCAGCGCGTCCGAGGCAGATACCAAGGGAAATTTCATAGTCAGGAAGTCGGGCGTCGTACCATCCTCGGAGCCTGGGCAGATCATCTCTCTGATCACGTCCCAGTATGAGCTGTTCGATCTGTTTCGACCGGGCAATTTCGATGCCAAGGAACACTGTATAAGACGTTTAGACTTGATAGTATATACGTAACAAGAACTTGCTTGCATTTTTTATCACTGCGCGTACTCACCCTTAAACGTTCGAGATACGTCGTCGTACCATTAAACGTGGCAGTAAAGTCGATTCCACCTTCGCTCTTGTAATATTCTATACTTCTTCTCTATAAAGATAAATGGTGAATAAAAATCAATAATGAACACGATAGTATATTAATCAAGATCTTTCATAGGATCTAATCGTCTCATATACAACTGAAACTACGAGCTAGCTATTAAAAAATACTTACAATCTCCTCCAAGGTATCCTGGGAGAGAAAGTGCTCCTGCGATAATGTATAACTAAGAAGCATAGGTCGAGGATATTCGTGGGGTCTATTCTCAGGCGGCGGCAGAGACCAGAAGACATTGAAATTCGATTCGTAACACGTACCATCCATGTTGTAAGGTGCTGCAAAATAGAAGATAATGATGATCACTCAGCTTCTACATTCTCGTTGCGCGACAAAGAAAGCCTTTGAAACACTCACAGCATATCAATCCCACGCACGGTATGTATCCGTTATCGCTAGGCCCCTTCATCTTGATCTGATAATCCAACTGAGAGTCCACGTCCCTCAAGGAAGGCGACGCGTGAGAGCGCGGATGGGAATGATACCAGCCTACCAGCGTAACACGCTTCCATTCCATGGCTCTTGCGATTTCAGCTTCCACGGCTGCCGCGGCTGACTTGTCCTTACCAGAGTACCGGCACGGGAACGCGCACGTTATGGAAAGATCTACGACAAGATGATGCACGTTCGATGACTCAACATTCCAACCGTACGCAGGCTAAAATAATCCATATGCATTATGGCACGTAAACGCAGTTTGAAATGTACTGTGCGAGTTGATGTCCCAGTGGCCGCCCAAGTAGCCGCAGACTTCCTTGTCCGTTAAGTGACAGTGCAGGTCCACTAATAGGGCCGCGGTGGTTGTGATGGTGACTAAAAAGGGCTGTATCTTCCCCAGCGTGCTGAATGACGTAAGTTCCACCATTGTGCTCATGTCCCTGTAAAGCAAAAGTGTTGGAACGTTTATAGAAACATTTATAAAAAATCAACAGGCACGATTTTTCTCTACGAGAGCCTACATGGCGTGACTTCGTATCCCAAGATTGGCGTGTTTCACTGGAACTCGCACTATCTGGACCGGCGGCGTGATCTGTATCTTCTCTCCGCTCTCTTCAGCCGTGTCGGTCGGAGCCCGTTCCATGATTTCAGTACACTTTTGAGGACTAAATGGAGATGAGATGGCGTCGAGAAGTCCACATACGTCTTCTTCCTCCTGTTTTTCGTCCTCTAGAAACTACAAACGTCGAAGCAACGACGCTCGCCTCATTGGAAAATTTTCATCGTTATGTGGTATGTTGTTTCTCCGAAACCTGCAAATGTATACCAATATTGGACACGTACCTATGTCTGGACATTTTCATCATTTTAGTCCTTAAATAAGTTATAACGCGACGTAAAATCAAAGAATCAAAGATGAAAATATTTTTCGTGTATTATATTCGGATCTTTGATTTTACGTCGCGTTATACTTGTTTAAAAACTAAAGTGATAAAGGTGTCCAGACTCCAGACCATAGGTCTCAAGTGTCCCTGCATTGCCTTGATACATACATTTACCTTAATAACGTTTCCTAACTGACGTGACGTACAAGTAACGTATTCCTATGACAGAGGTGACAGGTCGAAAAGACGCTTCGTGTGATCGACGGTGATCGCGACAGCGTTATCACCTAGCCCAACCTGACTTGGCGCATTGTTGACAAGAGGTCTGTTCTTTGTACGTAGCGCACCACGTTACTATGTCTTAAAATTAAAATGAAAATAAGATATACACGTATATATTATATTTTGGAGGGAAAAAGAGAAAAGATGGGAAGGAAGCGCAAGAAATTCAACCGGACAAGGAACGAACACGAGAGGCCTGCATTTTATAACTGTGCCGCATTATAGACTTTAAAACGGAGTAGATGTAATTAGATGTTGGACGAAAGAAAAAGGAAAGATAAAAGATTCAGCTTTACACTACAGAGCGACATTCGTATTCGTAACCCACATCTTACATTGCCGAATCTTAGGTAATCTTAAGATTCTATCCAAAACGATAGTAGACATTTTCAAATTCAACTTTGCCTGCCAAAGGTCTGCTATTAAAAAAAGGGTCATGATATTCAATCATAATCTTTTTTTAATTATAAAAAAATATTGTAGCAAAACATTGTAACTGGCTCGGTATCCACTTCTATCAATGCAGGTTACGTAACCTTAATTTTGGTTTAACCAGGTTTAACTTGATTTTTATATTTTTTTTAGTTGTAAGACGTGGAAAAATGGGGAGTAAATTACATCAAGAAAGTTAAAATCTGCATTGAGGCAACTTGTTGATTTTTTTCAGAGCGAAGAGAAAATACACCGGGAGGAAAACAAAAAAAAAAAGAGAGTATTTCGTCGCCACACAGCCTGGCGCTTATTGGCTCAATTGGCTGCCTGGATTTTGTCCAACGAGACCGAGAGGCGAGTGAGGCGACACGTCGCGTTAATTAGGACCGGCCATAAAGCCGGTCGACCGTCGCGCTGCCCAGCGCTGCCGAGCCGAACCGTCAACCGAGACCGAGGGTGCTCCGGCGCGGTTCGGGGGTTCGGGCCGTTCGGCGTCCATTCCACAATCCATTGCCTGCAAGCCGCAAGGCCTGCAATCAGCAATCGTTCGTGAGGATTCGGAGTTGTCGGTGAAAACTTGTGGGAGAGCAACGGCAAGCAACGGTCTGGTCGAAAGGACGAAAATGGCGATGGCGACGAACCAAGTTAAGGGTAGCGGCTGGCCACGGCGGGCGAGCAACAGTTCGTTCGAGGGGAAGGTGGTGCAGAATCAGTCGGTCACCATCAACAGGACCGTCAATTTGTAAGTGGCGCGACGTGACGCGCGAGCCAGAATTTTATCCTTTTAGAGTTAACTGTGATTTCTGACCGCCTCTCTTCTATAGAAAACCACGGCCACGACGCCGGCCTCGGGCAGACGCGCGCTAGCAATTCAAAATATCGCTTCTAAAAGAGCAAAACAAAAGTTGAGAGAAAGGAACAACCCCTTTCTCTCCTCTCTCGCGATGATCGGCCGTTTGTTTCTTTTTTTTTCTCCCCCCCCCCCCTTCGAGACCCCCGGAATTTTAAGCAACTTGTATCCGCCGTTCTTCACACTTCACACGCGACATGTAGGCACCAGGCACCTGGCACTTGTCCTCAGTGGAGAAATGTCCGCTGCGGTTTACGTGCGATAGTCGTTTACGATTTATACGATACCATTTGCTTAAGATTCTCGAATGTAGGCTATAGCGCGTCGAGCACGCGAGTTATTAACGCGGGATCTTCACCGGCATTCGATTCACGCGCAGCGTCTCTCTCTCGAGCATCGTTTCCTCTCCACAACACTCCACAATGTCGTAAACGACGTAGTAAACTAATTGTAAGCCCGCTCCCCTCGCACTCGTAATGTGTTGATTCTCAATATGCGTGCGAGGAGGCTCCCCGCTCCCCGCTCCCCGCGCTGTCCGTCTCTGTTTTTCTTTTTCATTTTGATTGTTAAAAAGCAGTGCAGTTTGTATCTTAAGATTTCGCGAACCGCAGATCGTACGATCCCGACAAGGCTGTATTATTTTCTAAGTTTGTACGCTCGCCAGGAGAGCCCTGTATATGTTTTATGATTCATGTTTCATGATTTCACTCTTCCATTTCATGTAAGACACGCTATATCTATATGTATTATATGTATACGTACGTACTACATTTTGTACGGGGTAGTTCACAATTATATCTATATATATATACATACACCTAGTTGTATTACATTTTAAGATAGTATCTAATATAATACAAATATTGCGATTATTCTGCTTTGTTATAAGAAGGTAAAACAAATCTTCTTAAAACAAACACCATTATAAACGAGATCTATGTAACGTTATAAGATCATAACTGGATTATTTGTGTTCATGATATTATATATGTGCATCTATGACGTTACATTTGCAGCATCTTAATTGTGTTATGAATCAAAATGTTACAGAATATATATTTATATATCAATGTATCTCGGCATCATGCAGGTCTTTGCATGTATTTATCAAATATTAATGGCTAATTTTTTTATTGTATTCTTGAAAGCTCTTAAATATTATCTTTTTTAAAGAAACTTCATACATCGTTGCAATGTGTCATTATATTAATAAACTGATAAATATCATTTATTGACATAAAAGTTAAAGAAACAAATTTAAATAATTTTATAAAGCAATCACAGTCACAGTAATATATAAGTTAACGGTAGAAATCTAAGAATATGATGAAATATTTGTATTATTTATCGAGTACTTGCTGAAGTATTTACTTGTGCAGATACGATTGTAATGTCACAAATAACAAAATTATGTTTGCCTGTTATTTATATTTAATTTGATTATATCAGGTGTTCAATGTGAATGCAGAACTTTAGTTATGTGTTGAAATGTTTTATACATGCGTATTTTATACATGTAAAAGCTGAACGTAAAGCGATATTTTTATGACAAATAAGCTATCATATATGAAATATAATTAGAAATTCCATATTACATATATATATATATGGAACATTTAGACTTATGTTACATTGCATAACAATATTTTGTTCTATGTTTATACTTAAAATCTGACAAATACAAATACAGATACAGAAATCGTTATTAAGCAATGTAAGAAAGAGAATAGAGTGAAGATTGGAAACTTTGTTCTGTTAAAAAATTCCAAATAAAAAAATTTATAGACTTTATTACAAAATTTTATGTACCTAATGTATATTTATTAACAAAGAGATAATATTTGATCATAATAATAAAGGCTCTTTGATAATAAAGTAACTCTTTTTTATAATTTAAATATCTACACATTTATTGCTTAACGTACAAAGACATAAATACTGTTAATATTGAAATATGAAAATAGCGAAAGAAAAAATTAAATTGTTATATTGTGTATATTTACATAGTTTCTGTGAATATTGTAATATCGCATCAAGCTGTATTTGAAGAAACTGGATTTAATTACTGATGGATTAAGTTAAGCATATACAGGAGCCTAACAAAAGAATACAAATCATTTATCATAGATATCCTTTGACAAACTATACGTTTGGAACAAAAGAGCCACTCTTCGAGAAAGATCCATCAGTACCAGCAAGGTTTCAGCGCATGAGAGATGAATTCGACAAGATCGGCATGCGGAGAAGCGTAGAAGGCGTCTTACTGGTACACGAGCATGGACTGCCACACGTTCTTCTTCTGCAACTCGGCACAACATTCTTCAAATTGTACGTTTCGACAACTTTGAAAAACGTATGCAGCTTAATAACAAGATATCAACGTTCATACGTTTCCTTCTTGTTGTTTCAGACCTGGCGGAGAACTCAATACAGGAGAAGATGAGGTAGAGGGCCTAAAACGGCTCCTTACAGAGGTAACAGTTAGCACGACGCCTTACGCTGCCTTACAGGCTGGCTGGGAGTGGCACTTTTATATCGTTAGATTGTAACATTGTCTTTATAAACATCATCATTATTGTACAAAACCCTGCAAACGTTTGTAGAACTTATGTAACCGGGCCTGTAGCTCCATATAGGGGCTTGCTCTTTTATTCTTATAATATTTTGTACTTTTGGCGTGCTGCATGCCCGGACACTTTAATGTTGAAAAGATATCGCACGTTATTGTATCCGGTTGGCTAAGAACATTGTTCTTATTTCGATGGTGTATGTTTTAGCACAGAGAGAAACATCGAAGAGACAAGATGAAATGCAAGAATGTAAAATAGTGACAAGAAGACTGTATATAAACGTCGCGAATTTTTGAAATTTATAAATTGGAGAACCGATTGTATATATGTACTTATATATTGAATAGGGTTTAGAATTTTATTGTAAGGAAGAGATATCTGATCGCGGCATAATATGTGGGCCTACGACGTTCGTCGCACGTGTCAGATCACAAGACACGTAATGAACTTGAGATTTGTAATCTCTATCACATATTCTTGACTAAAATTTTAGGTCACACACGTGACGGTTTCACATTAGGTATTCATATCAACATCATATAGATATCATAGGTGAAAGAAAACGTACATGTATAAAACCCTGCAAACGTTTGAATATCCATATCAGCTTTCGATTTCAAAGAGATTCCGTGCTACGTGTCAGTCGTCGATAAACTTGAATATTGTTAGACGTGATGCTCGTAGGTGACCGCCGTAAATGTCTCGAAATATAATAAATATTGTGCAACCATGTTCTTAGTAGACTGACAGAGGAAGAATGTATTTTATTCTCATAGTTACTCGAAGCTCAATATGATACAATGTTAGACAGCAAATGGGATTGGTTTCTAGACTTTCGGACGGCAGGACGGGGTGAAGCAGGAATGGGTTATAGAGGACACCATTGGAAACTGGTGGCGTCCAAACTTTGAACCACCTCAGTATCCGTACGTGCCGCCACACATCACAAAACCGAAAGAACATAAGAGACTATTTCTCGTACAACTACAAGAGAAAGGTATAACGACATATCAGAAAACCTTGACTAATCTTATCATCTCATAGGCGTGTGTATTTACTTGTGTTATTTTTGTGTTCAGCTCTCTTTGCTGTACCGAAGAACTACAAGTTAGTCGCTGCACCATTATTCGAATTATATGACAATTCGCAAGGTTACGGTCCCATAATCTCATCTTTGCCACAATCTTTGTGCAGGTATGTGTTAAAGAAAAAAAAAATCTTTATATTTTGCAAAGAAATGAGACATGACATATTACAAAATTACATTTATTTGTGTTTCAGGTTTAATTTCATCTATATGTGAAACTAGAATTAAAAGACCAAGACCGAAATATTCGGTTTAATTTAATGAAATCTATTAGAGGTTTAATAATTAGACGCGTATGTGGTACGAAACGATGCTGATATTTGAGGGAAATTTCTGATCTATGTATATGATGCATTGCGAATTAAATCATTTTTTAAGTAGTATTTATGTAACTTTATAATCTCATTCCATCAACTTTTGTATCTAGATGTAAGTTTCTATGTTTTGTTTTTGTATCTGTAACGAGATACAGCAAGAAGTACAATCTACGTCATTAATTTTAAAATGTACATAAACATTTTTATCAGCTTTATTTCCCAAAATATATGTAACGTGTATTACGTGCTTCTCACAAAAATAACGCGTACGATGCGAATAATACCATGGGAAACCGTAACCGAGATGCAATGTATATTTTTCTGCCAAGTCCTCGAAAATACTTTCTAAACTCGTAATAAAATTATTATGTAACGAGAGAGTGTAGAGTGATTGTATATCGATAATTTATAATTTGACACAATTTTGATTTTCTGTTACAATAAGATAACAGAGGACTTTTTGATAAACCAATTCGTTGATAAATTGAATTGAACTGACTTGTTTCGTATAAGCAGCAGTATTAGAGAAATATATTTCATGTAAATATCTTAATCAAATACATTCATATTATTGTACAGTAAGTAATTCAAGTTCTCTGCCTTACACATTCTTTCCACTCTCTTTCATTCTTGCGTAATATCACATCGCGCGGTACGCGATATACGATGATATCTTTTATGTCTTATCAATAATTTTATCTAATCAATCTCGTTATATAACATGAAAGAGCTGTTTGGCCTGAAACATGTAATAAACTTTATTCTATTTTCTCTCGTTTTGTACATACATATGATGCGGTATAAAAATATAGCTAAAAAGGAACAGATAAAATTTGGTTTTTAGAATGTAGTATTTGGTATGTAAAAACTTTTTGATGGCCTAATAGTATATTGTTCTCGTTTTGTGGAACGGGATGTGCTCCAACTGTTGCGCGTACTCTCGCCGGTAGTCCCACAGGTAGTGGTCGATCACGATCGTGTTGACATCGGACGGGTTCAGGCCCACGTTCGGATCGGCTGCGATCAATCTTCGCACCTCGTCGCGCACCTGCTCGACCGCCTCGATCGAGCAGGCACGTATCTCAACCTCCTCCCTGCTGCCCTGCTTTAACGGCTCGTCGGCTTTCAGCTTGCCCATGAGCGAGTCACTGTAGCGCATAGCGCCGTAATGCACGAGCACCTGAGGGATACGATAGTCCGCGAACATCGCGATGCTGTCGATATCGTGGAACTCGCCGAGCCCGCGTCCCTCGTAGCAGGCCCAAATGTCGCCGATCAGTATCTGGGCCCTCTTGTAGATGCTGATCCTGTGCCCCTCGTAGTTGGCCTCGTCCCGGTACGAGTCGAATTCCTTGACGATCAGCCGGAGCAACTTCTCCGCTGAGCCCTCGCACGACTTGATACACTCGGCAAACGTGCCCTTATACCTGTCCAACAGAACCCTTCCGGCCTCGTGCAGGCCCTTGATTCTTTCGTCTATAAGCGGAATGCTGACCTCGTCGTCGCCACGGAAAATGACCTCGGCATCCGCCTGCGTTATCTGCGAGTAATACTTGGGATCCCACATGGGTTTCCCGTCGTCGATGGCCCGAGTGACTGCGGCGCAGAACGCGAAGTAGCCGGTCTCTCCGTTGACTGTCCATTTCTTCGCGCCCGTCTCGGTCCAGAAGGAGAAGTTCAACGTGTCCAGCACGAATATCCAGTCCGCCGCCCTGGGGTCGTCGGGCTTGGGATGAAACTTGATCTGCGAGAACGTGCCCTCGCGAATCTTACCGGTTTTCAAGCCATCGAGGATCGCCAAGGCCAGTTTCTTCACGCCCGCCTGCTCGATGAACACGTCCTTCGCCAAGCCGGCAACCAGCTTCGCGGACTCCTTTGGCATCAGGACCATGATGTCTGGATCTTGATAGCCGAACCCCGAACGATCTGTCTCAAGCTATTCCAAACGATTGTCAACACGTGTCAACGACTGTCAATTTATCTACTTGACGCTTACTTTACAAATGCAATGACCCTCGCTTTTTCGCTACGTGTCGGTACCGGCTCGAACAATAACAATGGCCGTTCCAAAAATGGAGCGCGATCTTCAGCTGATCGATTACGCGCTCTTTCTGGCTCTTTCATCATTTCAGCAAGATATCTGATATCACTGGGTGCGTTCAGCCGATACTCCGCTAGCCTAGCAATCGTGAGCAGTCGCTCGTTTTCGCTCGTTTTCGCTCGTTTCCTCTCCTTTGACCCAATGGATTAAAAAGAGAGGAAACAAGCGCTCGCTTCTGTCCAGCCAAATTTTTCCGTAGCAAATGGTAGCAAAGCGCTCGCTGCTTACGTGCGCTAGGCTAGCGGAGTATCGGCTGAACGCACCCACTGATATGAGTGATATGACATCATTTCCAGCTGCAGAAAAATAACAGAAAATGCTATAGAATAGATCTTCAATACATTTCGGAACACACTCTATACACAAGCGGGGCACAAGCCACAAGCCAATGGCCTAGTTTACACCGACTATTTGATACACGTACCAAGTACCATATCCGTATCAAATTCGTATCAAATCTCGGTTTACACCGGGATAACCCGAGATTTGATACGGATTTGATACGTATATAGTACTTGGTACGCGTATCAAACGGTCCGGTGTAAACTAGGCCAATAGGAGAATTCATTTTCTAGTTACGTCCATCCAGTGAGTTCCTGTTATTCCCAAGGTTAGGTGGGTTAGGCATCCTGCGCCGAGATATTGCGCGCGCTTTCTGGTTTACCGTTCGGCGCGTTCTCGCGTACTTGTCTGCCGGTGTTGACGTCGCGCGTTCAGGTAACGCCAATTTAAAATATCTTTAGAAAACATTAAGTCTATTGTTAAGATCGTCGCATTGTTATCAAGGCAACTGCTCGTGGCGTTTCCTAGGTGAACGACTCTGCTTGCGGGGTGACATGGATTCCGACAGCTGCTCGTTGACCTGCACCGTTGCCGTGGAATGGTTAAACGCGCAAGGATCCATCCTGAGGAAGGCGACTCACCGGACGGCGTCGTTGCGCCTGATTCGAGACACGCAGCGCGAGCTGCTGGTCGAGGTACGCGCCGAGAAGGCGAACGCGCTCACGAAGCTACCCCTAAGAGGTATATCGGTATTTAATAAATTCATGACCGAGGGCAAGGCGTCCATCAAGTTTAAAGAGCAGAACTGCACGTTGTTCTTGTCAAACGCACCCTCCTCCCAGCTGATAACGTTCCTGAAGACTATATTCGTCAAGCTGACGGGCCAGGAAGTACATCAAGTCCCGAAGGATCCCTTGCGGGAGAAGTTCTTTGCGAATGTGCGACCGGGCGGCGGTGGCGAGGGCGAGGACATCAGTCCAGCTACTAGCACAGAGGTCAACAGAGCGAAGGAGAAAGCTATGGCTGTGTCACGCGCGACGGTCACCACTCCGTCGCCGGGCGTGGTCAGGAAGCGGAAGCATTTCAACGACGATGGCCACGGCGCTAAGGTACCCGCGGCAAAGAAGCTGTACGAGAATCCTACTGCAGGAGAGCTGACTGAGGAGCAAACGCGAATTCTGAATGCGGTACTCAGCGGGAAGAACGTGTTTTTCACCGGTAGCGCAGGCACCGGTAAGTCGTTTCTACTGAGGAAGATAATCTCGGCCCTTCCCCCGGACGTGACGATGGCCACAGCGAGCACTGGAGTAGCAGCCTGTCACATAGGTGGAATTACGTTGCATCAGTTTGCCGGTATCGGTCTGGGTACCGCCACCAAGGAGAGATGCGTCCAGTTGGCCTCCCGTCCGTCCGCAGCTTCGATATGGAGGAGAACGAAACACTTGGTGATAGACGAAATTTCTATGGTAAACGGTGATTTTTTTGACAAGATCGAGGCGGTGGCGAGACACGTGCGTAGAACGGAACGACCCTTCGGAGGAATACAATTAATCTTGTGCGGCGACTTCTTTCAGTTACCTCCCGTGTCTAGGACTGACGACAAGGCCAAGTTTTGCTTTCAAAGCGAGGCCTGGCAAAAATGTGTTCACTTTAATTTTGAATTACAGACGGTCCATCGACAAAAGGACAAGGCGTTCGTGAAAATATTAAATAGCGTTAGGATAGGTAGAGTCACGGATGACATCGTAGATATATTGAAGGAAACGGCGAAGCAAAAAATTGAAGGCAATGGAGTATTAGCAACTAGATTATGTTCGCATGTGAAGGAGGCCGATGAGATTAATGAATTTCAGTTGGATGAACTTAAGGGCGAGAGTAAAGTATATACGGCGTTAGATTCCGATAGTTCTATGACGTACATGTTGGATCAGCAGCTGCCTATACCTGGTAAATTAGTACTGAAAGTTGGCGCGCAAGTTATGCTGCTGAAAAATATAAATGTTAACAGTGGATTGGTGAACGGAGCTCGAGGTGTTGTTGTTAGTTTTAAAAATGATATACCGGTGATTCAGTTGCGATCTGGAACTCATTATGAGGCAAAGATGGAAAAATGGGCTATCAAAACTACTTCCGGTGCTGTCGTACACCGAAAACAAGTTCCGTTAAAGCTAGCGTGGGCCTTTTCGATTCATAAAAGTCAGGGCTTAACTTTAGACTGCGTGGAAATGTGTTTGGCGAGGGTATTTGACGCCGGTCAATCTTACGTAGCACTTTCAAGAGCTCAGAGCTTACAAAGTTTACGTGTTTTAGATTTTAATAGCCAACAGGTGTGGGCTAACACAGCTGTACTTGAATTTTACAAAAAATTCAGGAGGACGGTGCAAGAGATGGAAATGATTCCTCTCGGTAAGAAAATTAAATTAGAGGGAAATAAACGATAATATATTTATATTTTTTATAATCTACACATATAATATACAATAGCTTGTTGGAAGTAAGCACGTTATATTTAACGCACGCACAGACGTACATAAAATAATTATTAAATGTTTTAAGTAAATATTTTTTCTTTATTTTTATGTATATACGTAATACACAACGTTTCGGTTCTTTCTTTTTACAAATATTACACAGTTCATTGGTGTAGACGGTGATTTGTATTTTATATTTATCATTATATTAATAATCGTCGACAGTTATCTCGATGGGCGGTATGTAACGCCATGTATGTCCCGCATTTATGAGCTCCGAATAAAGTATTGGAGAATTTGGAGCGGATTCTTTACTACTACATTGAATATCTATTTTGTACTGACCAGCAGTAAAGAATACTACGCGACATTCATGATAGGCTCTGCCGGATTCCTGTAACTGTTATTTCTTCATAAATTCGGGAACGTAAGACAAGTGTGTACACAGCTACAACGTGTATTTATGAAAGTTGTGACTCACAGTAGGCAGCATGACCTTATTTGCTCCAGCTATGGATAATCTTGTTTCCAACTGATAATTATTCACTCCATTATGATGATCCTGATAGAAATTAATGGACAATGTAAGATCACTCAGCGGATGCTCCAGAGCATTGCACACTCCCACACCAACGCTTATGCATTCACCCAAAGCACACGACAGTTCTTCTTGTGCTTTTACAATAATATCGTTAATAGTTATTTCTGGAAAATGTTGACGTTGTTTAGTAATCTTTTTTTTTTTTTTTTTACATACGCACAATAAATATACGCACCCCACTGTAGAGGACTCATTCTGACCAGATCTAACATATCCTGAGTTAAAGTAATGCCGGATAGAGTTGCTTTTCCTGTTGACTCGGTACCTAGTAATTGCCAGCGTAGATCAACCAACGAAGCTATATGTTCAGCACATATTTTTTGGAGTTCACTTGTGTCACCAGCACCATTTAACTATAAGTGACAAAAATAGTATTATATTTTGCGGCATGTCTTCGAATAGGCCACGTCTCCGTTATTACCATAGATAATTTATTAAGTGGACATCGGTCAACTGGAACAGGAATTCTACATGGTTCTTTACCTTCCATGTATATACATTTATTTTGCGTATAGTGCAATTCCATTTCGTGATTTGTCATGTTTGTCACGTCCAGTACGAGATAAAATTGCAATGGTCTAAAAATTGTTAGCGAAAGAATTTTTATAAATAACATATATGTATATGAGATACAACGTGTATAAATAAATACTATTTTACTAACATCAAGTATTTGCGTTTTCGTGACTTACGTTTCAGCCGGCAATACATCCCACGTAGTAATCTGCACACTGGGTAGCATCTCAATGGTTATAAAAACAGATGAAATTCTGCAGTATCCATTTACCAAGCCTCCACCTCCTGAGTATTTTATCCTCAATTGACCTTCGATAATATTAGACGTCTGCAAAGGTACTGCAAGTTTCGACAAACGCGTGCTCGCTAAAGAAGAGTGGCCGGAGTGCGAACTTATTCCCGATCTGAAGGAAGAGGTCAGCTCGGATTGTCTTTTCGTATGAGACGGAGAACTAAGCCTAGATGGTAAAGAACTGTGGCCTGAATGTGACATTAAACTGCTCGGTTGACTAAGACAGGTACTGCTAGTAACATCTGAAAAATAAATTGTAAATTCAGCAAAGAGGAAAAATATATTAAAATTTCAAAATTATGTTAGCATAATAATATAATTAACGATTATATTACCATTTCTAATCGAAGGCGCTATAAAGTCCGTCGCTGCGTACAGATATAAAGTAAGACTCGCACTGCTGCCAGGTTGTAAAGGCACGTGCGTCATTAGATTCTCATCGCTCCATTTGAAAATTTTACTCTCAGTTACAGCATCCAGAGTGGACTGTACTGATAACTCGACCATTTCAATAGGAACTTGACCGGCGTTCGTTATCGTCACGGTACACTCGGCGCTGCAAATGTGAGCGAAACCATTTTACACGAAAATGGTATTGAGGGAAAAAATTTTGTTAATGCTAACAGTAGACACAAACCTCTCACCGCCATAGAGAGATATACTCGCGCTGGTAACTATATTGTCGCCGGAACTGAAACTAGCAGTTTGAGGCAAACTAGTTGCGACATCGATTCTTGGTAAGGCTGGAATGACTTCGACCGTATATTGAGGATGTAACATACTCTCCATGTATCTCAATCTACAGTTAGATTTAACTCCTAATGTATGTGTGCTGAATCCGAGTATTTCTAAATCTCCAACTTCCTTGGGTCTGCCTGCTAACGTAACTGCACGCGGACCAGACTCAGCAGGCAGGCTAATACTTTCTGGTATCGATTCGAATACTACACCGTTTGTCAAAAGTCTCATGTTAGACACGTGCAATTCAAATGGTAAAGGATTTATGAGCAGCATTGACACCTCACAGATATCTCCTTCCACCCACAAATAATCTGTTGGAAAAAGTCCATCTTTTATGATATTACACTTTTATTGATGGTAGATGGTAATAATAAAACATGTAGGTATGCACGTACCAACTTTGCTTTTCGAAGTATTTTTGCGCTCCAACGATCCGAAATTAATTGGCGTAAATAAAAATGGACCATGATCTTCTTTCACCCTTTCTATCTTTTGAGGCTGTAAATGTGGCTGCATGTTTTTCAGAGCAAACGATTTTGTTTTTGGTATATTTAATAAATTAGCCGGTGGTATGACAGTACCAGAATCTAAAACCTATCGTTTAAAAAACATTGTTTATTTTATATGAAACACGTAATATACGTATTCATATCATTATATAATTATTTTTTAACATACAAGAGGGACTGGCGCACCCTCGCACTGTTGAGATACATTTTGTAACTGTAGTGCAATATCCTTCCGTTCGGTAAGCGTCAGATGATTATACATTGTTTGGAGCAAAAACGTCAGATGCCTTGTAGCGAGTGCCGGATGGCCCATTCGGTTGGCAGCAGCAACAAGTTCGTTTATTATTTGAATCTGTATAGCCGGCCATCCTCTTTGTCCATCTGTAAGAGAACAATACGATTTTAAACATAAAAAAAAACAAATTGAAACAAAAAGATGAAATTATATTAAAAGATGGTCGTTGAAAAGACGTTAACACATATATATTTTTTTCTTTAAACGTATAATTTAAAAGTATAATAATGTATAATCAGGCAAATATAATCAAGGTAAATGTTAAGGTTTACAAAATTTAATACACGTGCAGTAACCTGGTGGCATATCGACAGGATCTAAAGACAATTTAAATCCAGATGTAGCTTGCAACATCAAATTATAACATTGTTGCCAGTCTGGATTAGGATTATTTTGCGATACATGACGAGTAGCGGCCAATCGCAAACAGAATGACGCTTTTCTGTCAAAACCAAAGCTCGTATATAGATCTGACAATGTAGTAAATCGATCAATCTGAAATATTTCATCTACTACAACACCTTGATAAGCTTTATACGTAAATGTTTTCTGCGTTATGTTAATATACCACGTACTTTTTCTTGTTCGCTCAGAGACAAATTAATCAATACAACATTATTTAAATATGACGCAGCTTGTAAGGTACAGTTCTGTTCTATTGAGATTCTCGTAGCTTTGAAACTAGCTTCAGTTTCAATTATTCCTGCGTATTGGTATTTACTATAATGCACTATAGCTTCGCGATATTTCTTAGATATTTCCTCAGGTAGTAAAATATGTGGCATGCTGGCCTTTACCATGTCTATACTGGGCGGAGATGGCAAAACTGTAAGAGCCTGTGATCCTCGTCTATAAAATGACAAATAATTGATTATTCATTAGCTCTCACATCTTTAAACCACATTAGATTCCACATGATAAAAGTAGAGGCGCTTTGATGCTTTTTAAAAAGACAGTATCATGTTTTTTGTGTCGTCTAGCATACCTCTGCTTACTTGGACTTCCTTCTTGCAGGGAAGAATTTCTTTGCAATGGAAGACTTCGGCACATATTAGGATAAAGAACCAAGACCGAAGCAGCGCAGAGACCTTCGTACGCTGCTCCCAGCCACAACCAGTCATTGACGGCTTGCAGAATGTTGGCCGCGGACGTATAATTGTTCAGGGCATCGGCTGGAAGTCCGGCTTGAAGACACAGGTCACCTAAATGCTTCGTCATTCGGCCTACACATCTCTTCTTATTATTTCTCGACTCGAGGTCTAACCCGATGAAATCTTTCTTCTCAAATGGAGCCAACAGAAGAGAGACACGGTCTATCTTCTCCCTGGAACGCTCCAGCCTTTTCGACTCCAAGATCCAGAACAGAAAATTGAGATATTCGGCCGTTTGCGTCTCGAGATCGGAGGGGCACGCCTCGTCCGCATAGAATATTGCCCGCGTTTTAAAGTTGCCGGGGGTGGTGTAGCCCGGCGGCGGTTCGTGACGGCCGTTCGACTCGAGGGGACCGAAGAGGATGGCACGCGAGTCGTACAAGGTGCTGCTGTACTTGACCTTGAGGGTCTCGTGCACTCTGCACAGCTCGTTCAACTCCGTCTGCGTGTCGTACTTGCCGAACGTGATCAGGCCTAAGAGCCTCCTGTGCGTCTGAAAGTCCCCCCAGTCGTTGTTCTCCACCGGATGCTCCCGGACAAATCGGGCGAGGATCTCCCGGGTGCCGCCGCTCGAGTCGGACACGGAGAACCTGCTGCCAGTCTTGACGATCCGCTCGCATAACCTACTGACCGTCTTCGGCTTGATCTGCGTGCCGACCGGCCGCAGCAGCAGCAACAGGGAGGCGTGATCGTGAGCGGTCTGCTCGTAGTCGGGATGGGACATCTTGTTGTCGGGCACCGGACTCGACAGGATAGCGCTGATAGCCGAGCGCATTTATGCCATCGATTTGTTCGATCCGGTCACCGATCCTGTCATCTCTCCACGTCGTCGACGGCTAGAGCGAGAACGCGCGGCGTATCGTATCCACACCACGTAAGTAAAATCTAAATCTGTTCCATTCATAACAGCATTTGACAACCCGTCAACCCGTCATCTGTCACCTGTCACATCGGCTGTCGGCAGCGCAGCCTGCGCAGCTGGCAGGGGGAGTGACGGGGGTGGCAACGTCGCGCATGCGCATTCAAACACGGGCCACAGGCTACACGTGGGACACGTTCCGCTTCACGTTGACTCCTTTGAAATGTTTTCAGTTTAAATAAAGTGAACGTGATGTGTTGATCGAGTCCGATTAACGTGCGCCAGGACAATCCAGGAGTTAACATGAAGAATAAACCGACCCGTCATAAGGAGGCGAACGTCTTCCGGGTGAGTAGAGTCGTACGCGAGGTTAGGTTAACCTAATCGCGTGCGCGCGTGGCTCTGAAACCAGTGAAACCTGATCTTTCCTCCACAGTTTAAGCCGTTTTCCGAGCGAGTGACGGAGATCGACGTCGACGTTTTTCACCGTGTGGCACATCGGAACGAGGACGACGCCAAGGAAGTCGAGACTCACTTTCACGAGACGCTGCAGAAATGGAACGTTCTCAACCTGACGGATGGCTACACCGCCTTCAAGAAGCAAGTACGAGACATCGTCACGTTGCCCCAGCTCCTTCACAAGAAGCAGCACGTGATCGACGCGCTTATGTTGTATTTGAAGAAACGAGATTCCTTGTTCCTACAGCCGATCTTAGAGTAAGTAGCGTACGGAGAGGCATGTAGATTGATAGAAGTTTGTTATTATTACTATTCTCTCACATTGTTTCCCACAGGTTGGTAGTAGCCGTAGCGAGAGATCTTCAGAAGGAGTTCTACGATTATTTTCCAGAATTTCTGTCCGAAATGATCTGCCTGCTGCAAACGAAAAACGCCGAGCAGATAGAGTATACCTTCACCACTTTGGCATATCTGTTTAAATTTCTGTGGCGATATCTCACAAGAAACATAAGAAGTGTGGTGCCTCTGTTACTGCCGCTGCTGGCTGACACGCAGCCGGTCTATATAAACAGGTTTGCCGCCGAAAGTTTTGCATTTGTAGTTCGCAAGATCAAGGATAAAGACTCCTTCCTGAAATTGGTGCTACATATTCTGGAGGATAGAAATGAAAATGCTAAGGAGAATGGGATACCGGGCTGCGGAAAGTTATTGTTTGAAGTTGTCTCCGGTACTCCAGGACAGTTCCATTCCTGCGGCGAGCAGATGTTACTTCTTTATTTCAACGCTCTGCAAGACGAATCTCGTGATCAAAAGCTCACTTACGAAGTACTACGTGAAATCGTAACGTGCATATTGCAAAACATACATCCACAAAAGTGCGACGTCATGTGGAATGTTATACTTAAAATAATGGACATGTTTGTCGAAAAGTTGAAGCAGTCGTTAGACGTCTCTGAGAGGAAACACGCTTTGATTCTTTTATTGCGTCTCGTACATATGATTGTCAGCTATAAAAATGGTAGATTTTTAACCGACGCTATATCCTTGACGAAAAGATTTACCAACATGATGGACGTATTGAGCGAAGACAGTAATATCTTGCGAGAAGTTATCGATGTGTCTGTAGCCATTCTCTTGGCATCCAACGTTAAGTTAATGCAGGAGAATTCGAGTCAACTGTTGCTGAAAATTATGATGGTGAACGATATGGAATTATTGTATTCCTCCGTTGAAAATTTAATACCGTACTCTTCGTTCGAAGCTTTGGTATTGCCTCATGTATTGCGGCGCAGCATGTCTACTGGATTTGACAGTGAGACGTTGCTTCTGCTTGCTAAAATAATTCTCGCAAAAGCATCACCTTGCCTCAGCGGTATAACTTTGGACAAATGGAAAAAGTACATTTTAGATACACGGAATATTGGAAGCGGGAGTATCGATTATCTCTTACGAGAATTGAAAACGTTGTCTACCGATACCGTCTCGCTCGACGCACTGAGAATTTTGATAATTTTACCACATCTGAAGCCGTTACGCGAAGAATTTAAAGATATGTTGAGAGACGGCTTGTTATTTTTATATAAAAAGATACTGAAACCGGACAGTGCGGATGATGCTGCGGACATCAATAAAACCGCTTTCGTATTTTTATTAACACTGGAATCGCTGGTGCACGTGTCGGAGCCAAGCAGTCTCCACGAGTTTTTCGTAAAATCTGACATAAAAATAATTGATCTTGTTAATAACGATAACAAGTGTATATTAAACGCGATAGATCTCAGCTTAACGTACTTTGCTGCGTCGCAGCATCGTGCGGACTACATAAATTCAGCGTCGTTTGACAAATTAAACGACAATATAGTAAAAAAATTTAGTTCACCTTATAGCAACGTTCGATTAATCGTGGCACACTTATACTCTTTGTTTTCTAATGTCGAAGATCTGAAGGGGCCCTCGGTGCAAGGTGATGGAAAAAATGCTATGGAGCTTGTCTATTTGGTGGAATGTGAATCCGTGACGATGCAAAACTACCGCAGCAAGCTGTTGCACTTACAAGCTTTAGAATTTCAGACTCACGCGATAGTTAATCTAGATCCGAAGTATCACGAATTTCCATTAAGATGCTTGATGGGCACGTTGTACGTCAATTTTTCTCTGCTCTGGCAGCCCGTGAGTACAATCATAGCTAGTTACGGTAACAAGGAATGCCCACAGTTCTGGCCGACGTTTCTGGCCGAGTTAACGTCTAACAATGTGCCGGAGATTGAACGGAGATCGTCGTTCGCGTGCCACGTGGTTTCGTCGTTGGAATCGCTGATCGAGAGGCACGACGATAAGCCTGATTTCGAGAATTACAAGATCCTTCTCTGGAAATGCATGGCACATTTTTCACATTACGCCGAGACGAAAAACAGAGACTTAACCGGATTGTTCATCGATTTCGTAAATGCAAATTTTTTTAGATCCAACTCCGACGAGGGCAAGTATTGCGACGTCGAAAAACGTAAAGAATTAATCGATGCGGACGATGACACGGATGACGAGAACGAGAGCGAGAACGAGGAGCGTAACGAGAGCGTAAAAGCCGCGCAAGCGGACGCGATGAAAAGGACGTACAAGGTAAAACTTTTACTCGCCCAGATGGAAATATTTGACAAGGTGCAGAATCCGAAAATGATGCACAGAGAAGCGGAGCTGCATCAGATCTATCTGGACTTGATTTCTTCGAGGAACGCCGACATACAGAGAGCCGCTCTGAATTGTCTCTTTGCGTACAAGTACAAGTATCTTTTGCCATACAAGGAGTCTCTGTGCAGTCTGATAAATGAGAAGAATTTGAAGAATGAGCTCGCGCGTTTCAAGCTGGATCGGGAGAGCAACATGATAGACGAGGAGCATCGCGAGAATCTCATGCCGATCATAATGAGAATTATTTACGCCAAAATGATTACGAAGACCGGCATGAGGACCGGTGGAAAAGCCGGTGGATTTGCACGGAGAAAGATCATACTGCGCTTCCTGGGCGGTGCGCAGGAGGACGAGATGATCATATTCGTCAAAATGGCATTTAGACCGTTCAAATACGTGTCGGAGGTGGACGAGGCGTTTGACCTGAGGAAGTACGCTGGGAACATCGTCGATACCGTCGATCTGAATAACGTCATGCCGCCTAAACGCATGCAGAGCGCCGTGAATCTGTTGGCGATAGTAATAGAGCAATTCGGCGGGAAGATGTCGGCGAAGTTGTTACCGCGGTTGCTCAGAATATTGATCTGCATCCTGGCCGAGGTGAACGGGATTCTGCGGAGATCGGGGGAGGTTTACCCGGGATACCTGTCGACGATCAAGAACGTGAGGACGAGCTGCGTCGGTATCCTGGCCAGATTCTTCACGCATTTCGAGGACTACGACTGGCAGCGGCACGAGATAGACGCGATCTTTCACGTTGCGATATTTCCCTTGTTGCAGAAACTGCCTATCGAAGGTATACACAGTCCTACGACCTTGCTCAAGTTATTCATGGCGTGGGGCCAGAACTCGCGGTACTATCCGTTGTTTGCGAAGCATCAGGAGGACGACCAGTCGATCACTCCTCTCCCTTATATCATGCGACTCCTGTCGAATCCCAAGACGCATCAGTCCGTCGTCAACGCCATTCTGGAGATCGTCGAGAAGATGCTGACACTGCAGGACTACGGGAGATCCAACGAGGATGCGATGCAGGTGGACGCGCCGTTCTTACCACTAACGCCGATACTCACCAACATGCTCGAGGTGGAGGAGAAGGTACTTTCGAGCGGGATCAACTACGGCTCCGCTATACTCCTGCCGCATGTCCCTAACGTTCTGGAGTTTATCAAAGATAGACTTAAAAGGTTTCATAAGAGCATGAACAAGACCGAGCTGATCATCCTGTCGCGAATCTCCGAATTCGTTACGGATGTTGAGACATGCGACACGGTGCTGAAGCTGATAATACCCGTGTTAATCAAGAAGGTTACATCTGGCGGTAACGAGGAGGTCGTTATGGGATTGTTGACAACCGTCACGAATCTCATAAAAATTGTGAATAAGCCAGAGATTCATTTGCGTTCTATCGCGCCGCTGATGGGCTTTCTGTCGGATGTGCCCGCTCGCAAAACTCTTTTGCAGCTGTATCGCACCATCGCCGAGAGGTTCGCGGAGGAGCATCGCGAAGCGATGATTCAGGATTACGAGGTTTTGGCCGCTCTCAACGCGTGGGATCACAGATGGGTCGATCAACCGGACTTCCAGAAGAGGCTGGACGCCTTCGAGCTGATCAGCGACATGGCCGGGAGAAACGCGATTGCCCTGGAATTTGGCGTGACTGTGATACACAACTGCTTTTATTTTTTGAAAACTGTATCGGATTTGGCGATGCGAGATTGCTCCGGGCAGTGCCTGAAGCTCGTCGCGGCGAAATTAGCGAGGGAGCACCAGAGTAACGTCTTGAACAGGCGTTACTTAATGGACGACACTATCTTAACTCTTACGAGGAAGGGCATTACGAGCAAGAACGAGACCGTTCGCCTTCAATCGATAGCGCTTTTGGGACACATGGCCCTGGAGTGCGCGGACGTGCATCTCGTTTTACGAGACTTGTCCCTGCTTGCCAATCGAGTCGATCCTGAAGTCGATTTTTTTGAGAATATGCAACACTTGCAGTTGTACAGGAGAGCTCGCGCCTTACTAAAGTTCTGCACGCTCGCCAAGACATTGCGAAAGCCGTTTAATCCTAAAACATTGACGCAATTTATTCTTCCCCTCTGCTCGTCATATTTATGCAACGAGGCTTTCATTCACAAGAACAGTCTCGTTGACGCCGCTATCGAGACCGTCGGAGTGGTGTGCAAGCTGTTACCGTGGCACCACTACGAGATCATCTTGAAGTATTATTTAGGCAAACTGAGGAGCTCCACAGAGTTCCAGAAGCAAGTCGTTAGAATAGTAGTAACGATACTAGACTCCTTTCATTACGATCTTTCAAAGTACAAGCCGGCAGAGAAAATTACGAAAACCAAAGCTTCTTCGGCAGGAACCGAAGATAATGCTGTTACTGAAACTTCTGTCACTGAACCGCTAAGAGAAGAATCTAATGATGCGATTAGTAAAGATGAGAACCTCGAAAACACGGAACAAGGAGATGAAGAAAAATTGGAGGAAGCACTAAACGATGAGAATGTCGAAGGTGTTGAAGAAATAATAGAGACGGATAAGGAAACGATAAAGGAAGACTTACCGATACTTGAAAGGCAAACGCTGCTTTCTCAATACGGCGCGAAAAAAGTGGTGTTTAGCATATCGAACGGATTGTTGCCTCAACTGCATCGATCGATTGTGGCAAAAACTCGGCAAGACAGCAGTCATAAAATCAACAAGAAGAAAATAGCCTCCGAGACCGAGGAGGACGATTTATTGAGAGTTCCAATTGCTCTCGCGCTTGTTAAGTTACTGCAGAAAATGCCCGAGAATCTTCTGAATACAAATTTGCCAGGGTAAGTGATGTCAGAAATATTTTGTACTCTTTTATCGCATTTGAAGATTATTTTACTCAAGTAGCAATAATCCAAGATTCTGAAAATCTTGAAATTTTAAGAAAAGAGATGGAAAATTTATATATAACACGTGTCTTGTGCATGTATATTTTTCAGAATTTTTATGAAACTGTGTACGTTCCTCAAGTCGCGTATGGAATCGGTTCGACGTGCGACTCGCGAGACACTACAGAAAATTATGATTACTTTAGGACCGAAGTATCTTCACCATCTTTTGAACGAATTGAATACGCTGTTAACGAAAGGCTTCCAAGTGCACGTTCTCGTGTATACAGTACAGGCTGTATTACTCGCATTAAAGCCTCATTTCCAGAAACTTGATATCAATAATAATTTACAAAGCATTCTGTCTGTAAGTATTATACCTGAAATGTTTGATTATACAAACTCTTTGCCAATATATTCTATTAATATAATAATCAAAAAAATATATCAGTATAATAAAGTTTGCATTATTTGTATTGTATTCGCAGTATACATCGTATTGTCCGATATTTAATTATGATTCTTTCTCTGCTATACTATTCAAGCAATCTCAAATAATATCTGTATTCTTAACAATCAATTCGAATGTTGGAAATACTTGCTAACGTTTTTTAATGTCTTGACCTTTGAAAAGATTTATGGACTTATGTTTATATAATATACTTTTGTCAATAAAAATTAGTACAAAGATTGGTAAAGTTTGATCAAATATTTTAAAAACGCTATGTATATCTTTAAATAATTATTTTGTATATAGGTGTGCAAAGTGGATCTATTTGGATTGACCGCAGAAGAAAAGGAAGTAGCTGGTATCATCAAAAATGTGTCAGAGGCAAAAAGTACCAAGAGCTTTGATATTTTCCATATTTTGGCGGAATTTATAACAGAATCTTGCTTATTAGATTTAATCCTGCCGTTAAAAGAAATGCTATTGAAGACGCACTCGCATAAAACGATACACAAGATTGTGGAATGCCTCCGAAATGTAACTCTGGGATTGGCGGACAATGCTTACATACCGTTGGAACAAATGCTTATATTTCTTTACGGTATTATTTCGGAAAGTATACCAGGTCTTATGCCTGAGAAGGATAGTAAAAAGCTCGCGGAAGAACAGCGAAAAGGTGAAACGAAAACTCTGATGCCGCAGGAGTCGAATTATTTCCTCATACCGCCAGAACCCAAAAACAGAATGGGTATTAAAGTTACTGCAAAAACTACCAAGCATGCCAACGTTCATGTGATGATAGAATTTGGTCTGAGACTGTATCATATATTGCTGAAACGGGACAAAGTCTCCGGTGCGAAATACAAACGTTACTTAGAACCATTTGTGTCAGTTTTAAGTGACTGTTTAAAGTCCCATCATGTTAAGCTGTGCACCGTAGCATTGCAGTGCTTAAATTGGATGCTTAAGATGGATCTACCTTCGATGCACACATCGATATCAGACATTTGTACCTCCATGTTCGACATTTTGCATAAATATGCTGCCGCAGGATTAAGCAAAGGCGATAATTTCGATCTCGTAATGGCCACATTCAAATGCATGTCCGTGCTCGTCCGCGACGTGAAACACTTCAGTATCGATGCAGATCAGCTGAAGATTCTTATCTTATACGCGGAGCAGGATCTACACGACAGCGACAAGTACGGTACTGCGTTTACCTTGCTCAAGGCTATAATACATCGAAAGATGATTGTCGCTGAAATGCACACCGTCATGGAGAAAGTAGCTATGCTGAGCATTACCTCGGAGTTGGAACACGTTAAATTGCAATCCCGTTCTTTGTTCTACTCTTATCTCATGGGTTATCCGCTCGGCAAGCATTTGGATAAACACATATATTTTTATCTCACTCAGTTGAGCTACGAAATGCAACCGGGCCGATTGAGCGCACTGGAAATGATCCATTCCATCGTCACGGGATTTCCGTTGAAAACGTTAACAAGGAGGTCAGAAATCATATTTGTAATGACTGGTGCAAGATTGATAGACGACGACGACCCAACTTGCCGTAAACTTTGCGCGAAATGTATAAAAGAAATGCTTATGCGGATATCCTCTAATGATAGGAATAAGCTATTTGACAAATGGCCCCTTCAATGGCTAAGTGATTCCAAAATAAGGTACCGGACATTGGCGGCACAGTTGTGCGGCATATTCGTGACCGTCGAGAAAAATGATTTCGATTCGCGACTGCCTCAAGTCTTACCGTTGTTATTAAAGCAGTTTCACGCATATTTCTCTGCCTCTGACAAGTTAGATAATGCAAAATGCTCGCAGAAAGATCCTGATTTAAAGGAAGAAAGAACAAAAGATCATCATTTAATTCAAGTGTTGCAACTACTACTAAAAATAGCACATCACACATCTTTCCTCACAAATGAAAAGCACAAGGATTCTATTGACTCGTTTGCCGGTAAGTTATTTTCGCCGAAACGTTGGAAAGCTTCATTTTTTGTCAAGTATTGCATATTTACATTTTATTTCAGAATATAGCCAATCTTTGTTGGCGCATCCGCACTTGTGGGTTCGATTAGCAGCCGCGCAATTAATCGGCTTTATTTTGGCTGTCCTTGACGTTGATAAAGTCGTGGAACTTTTAAATAATCCAGAGAGCGATAGAGTACATGAGGGTTACATGTATTCGAGGCCCGTTGAAACTTTAAAGAGTTTGATTCTAGATTTAGTGGCTCAACTTTATCCGGACATGACATTCGAGGAGTTAGCAGATCAGGTTGTGAAGAACCTAATCTTTATCGCAAAGATGTTAAAATCGGTCACAGGATCCGTCGCGAAAACTGATGAGGAAGATGATGGAAGTAAAGCGAAAAATAATAATAATTTATCTTTTCCCTGGCTTATCAGGAGACTGAGAAAAGCTGTAAATATAGAAATAACGCAAGCCCCTAAGTCAACATCAGTGGTAAGAATATTTTCCAGATATCTATTGTATGTATCTGCGAAAAGTTTCGCGAATACATATTTTATATTTTAAAATAAACCATATGAATGATACATGTTTTCAGAGAACTGCAATGTTCAAGTTTATTGCCGGTATAGTAACTACAGTGCCTATGGAATATCTAAACGTGATACTTTTCAATATTATGTCTCCATTGGTACGGGAGATGACTACGACGGAAGAAACGAACGTTGAATTACGTCGGCTTGCCAAAGAAGTAGCTACCATGATTAAAAAGTCTTTAGGAAATGAGGATTATGTCAAATTACTGAATCGAGTACAACAAAAGTTGGACATTAAGAAAGCGGAAAGAAGAAGAGTTCGTGCGCAACAAGTAAATTTATTTTTATTATTTTACATCTTTAATTTTTTTAGTATAGTATATTTTCATGTTTATGAACTCGTTGAACTTTATGAATAAGGGCCGATATCACAGTCTCCGATTAACGTGATCCTCCGATTAAACTCACTCTGCATCTCTTTCTAACTGTCCCTAGTGCTCGGAAGAATTATATATGCATTATTTTTTTATACCAGTTTGTGACTGATCCCGACCTGGCGGCTAAACGTAAACTGGCTAAACAACAAAAGAAGAAAGAGGCTAAAAAAAGAAAACTGGACACTATAAAGGGAAGGAAAACAGCAAAAAAACGTAAAAAGAAAGTAGAACTGGATGATTTCTAATTATACTATAAATATAATTAGACAACAAATTTTACAATTTAAATATAAATTATATAAAATAAATAAACAATTTATATAGATGATTGTGTGTGTGTTACTTGTAAATAATTATAAAAGCGATGTAATATGTATGAATTAAATGTGAGTTTATGGATTTACTTCCAGAAGTTTTTACAAACGCTTATAGACAAGTTTTATAGTCAATGTTTAAACATAATATGTGTAACTAAGTATTATGCAACAAATATTTTTTAAGAAAACACGTCATTATGGTTCACAAAGTTTCATTTCTCATTTCATTTCTTTTCAAGAAGCGTAGAGTGCCTTCAATTTCTCCGATTTCAAATTTTTAACACTTTAAATTCGAAATTATGTAGAGGATTTATTTTTCTTTAAGAGAACACTAATGATATATAAGAAAGTAAAATCAATCCACGTGTTTAATTTTCTGTTCTACTTTCTTTTCTGTATTATTAATTGTTTTTTATGACAATCGATTATATGCCATTTACTTTTTGCTTTTTTACATCGAATATTAATGCCATGTCTCAGACAATTTGAAGTCAACTTTTTTAACAGCAATAGCTTTTGATTAATCAACGTTAAAAAAAAAAGTAATTGTGTGTTAATTGCAATAGCAATTTTGAAACAGACTATAATTGGTCACTTAATATTTATCGCTTGTATTTTTGTAAATGGCTATATGTATCGACCTTATATTCATTTCTTCATTTTCTTTATCATCATATAAATAGTATGTCTATAATACAGAGTGTCTTTTTGACGTGGCCCTAACTTTACCTAATAATTATTACTTTATTATTACAGATTATTGTTAAACATTATGGGAAAAAATGGTTTAAGATTTAATTTCTGATAAGAAATAGTGTATATAATTGTTGATTATACACTAAACATTTTAGTATATAATTCTTCCTACAAATGCATATTGCATTATGTATGATGTATTAGATATTATGCAACATGTTTGGCACATGTTTATACATTTAATATTTTAATATTGTTCTTTTTAATATAACAACTTTTAATGTCAAATAAATTTGTATGAAAATTAGCTTTTAAAATTAAAAAAGTAAGTAAGCTAATGTTGGTTGATGTGAGAAGAGAAAGGTTCTTCTCTCTCTACCGAGGAAGATCTACCATATCAATTTATTACAATCGTGAGAGAAATCGAGTAGAATCTACCGGTAACAACAACACACATGTTATTATTTCCTAACACATTATCTACATATACAGAATATTCTGCAATTCTAATGACTATCCGCAAATTATGAAAATACCTCGTGTTTTCGAAGCATATGTATGATAATCGGAAAACCATGATATTCCATGATAACTTAGCGAAGTTGGTTGGACGCACCGGTGCACACTGAGTGCACATTAAAGCCGTCGTACACAAATTATCGTATATATATATAAAGTGTATGTTTAATATAAACGGTTCAAGTCACTGGATCCTTGTTATTCTTTATTTTACTATTTGATAAAATTGTGTTGGGCATATCATCAGTCGAAATATTTGCATTTTTACTTAAAAATTAGAGATTAAATCAGTGTGCAACGGCTTTAATATGCACTGAGTGCGTTACTCATGCTTTTTCCAATTTGAGACACAAGGAATGTAGATTCATGCTTGAAAGGGAGCAAGAGTGTCATTTCATGTTTTTCCATTTTTAATGTATAAATTATTTATCTTTATCATTCAAAGCATGCAGCAATCTCGCGGCGCATGCATGGTAGGGTTTTACTACATCTGACGTCATGTTGGTTTTCGAGCTTCACTATTGGATCCCACTCTCTCCTGTTTTTACGGCATCGGAGTGTCCAGACCTGTGTACAAGACCGTGAGTAAAACACCGCGTCAGAAGCGTAATTAAAAAATTAACCAGGCCTAGTATCTATAATTGTCTATAATATGCAATAAAAGTTGCATGAATGGTTTGCGCTGATGTACGCCGTCTCTCTATACTCTTTGCGCACTGTCTTCAAGTTCACGTTCAAGTTGATAATCAAACCGAGAAAACTGCTTTAACAAGGCAATTTTCTTCTTGCTTAAAAACAGATATAAGATCAATACGGATATCATGGAATCAAAATTTATAGATTTCCTGTCAATCTAATATCCTGTCGATATATCTAATATGCTTGTTAAATACTTTACTACTTTCTAATATGTTTAAAGATATGCAAGTTTATTCAATTTCTTTTATCTAATTTAATATGTAAATATTTTAATAAATAAATATTTAATTATTTCATTAACACACAATTAAAAATACACATATACAATATACACATAAAAATAGATATTCGTCTCTGTTTAAAAAAATTGATGTTTTTTTTTATACCGCCGGAAATATAGGTTTGACTGAAATAAAAACTCATGATAAAATTATCGAAATTTTGAATTTGTTGTTCTCTATCATCCTTTGTTGGACATTTATTATTTTTGTGAGAGAAATCTATGTTTTTTCCCCTGTACAATTTTATAGAGAACGTAGAGGATTTGAAAAGAGAACTTATTCTGGTTTTCTCCAGAAGTTTAACGCAATATAGAGACACGAATAAAAATTATGCCTGCAAATAAGTAAAATTTGCACATATATACGCTAACAGAGATAACTGTAACAAAATATGTGAAACACAAAACGCGAAAAGCGATAAGTAGAAGTGTATAAATTGTGGAAATAAAAATTATGTTTCCCATCAGCTCGAACGGAACAATACGCGTAGAACTGAGACAATTTAACTCCGATTCGTGAACTCCGCCAGTTAGCAATATTAAACAAAAAAAGGTGTAGTACTCTCTTCTCTTCGCTATCGACATGAAAGTCCAATCGAGGACGTGGTTTGGATGTAGCGAACGTCCTTAGACGATAATAACACTTTTCGGTTCGAGCATTCCGAAAGAAAAGCGACATTTGTGATGATTCGCTTTCCTTGATTTCATAAAAAAAAAAAACCGTTCCGTTGATCGCGAATTGACACAAATGCGTAAACGTCGAGTGCTCGACGAAAATACGTTCGTTCATTTTATTCGCGAATCCGGATTCACATGAATTTGCGAATCCGGAGCTATCAGCTATACCTCGAGCCGCGCGAGTCGCGCATGGTTCTCGCTGGCTTTAGCGAATTTCTTCTGGATTCTGGATCCTGCACCGTCGTGCGTGAAATCGCAATTCCGCGCACGTAATAGTCGGGTGGTTTTTATTTATATTTCGCGCAATACCCTCGGCCTCGATCAACCCGGTCTCGTTTAAGAGAAGCTTCTTTTGTGCGCGCAGAAGCGATAGAGGCTGAGAGGCACCGTCGTTGGCCGGATGAGTCTGACGATAATCCGGTCACTAGTCAGTTACACAAGTCGGTCCACATCTGTGTCGAGACACGTTCGTCATTCGTACGTGCGATCCCCACGCGTGTGTGAATCATGTCAATTGACCTGCGCGACCCATTGTGTCGATCCGACAGTTTCTTTTCTTTTTCCCTCCTGCGAGACCATTCCCGTAGACAGAAGGTCATATTAGTTTGAGCTATATACTATGTCTTATCCGATTAGACACGTGGACGTTATTGATTGGCCAAATCAACGTCGTGATCGGACGTTTCCTACTTCTTGAAACTTGCCTACTCGAGCCATTCAGGAATCAGGCGAGCCTTCAGGCGAGTCAGAACGCGACAATCTATTTCGGAAAGCACGTGCCCGACACGATAAAGGAAAAGAGCGAGGCACGATGATTGTGGCTGTGACTTTGGCGATCTTAACTATTCTTCTTACTATTGTCTTCTTGCGACAGAGACCAAAGTGTCCTCCAGGTAATTTACTCATTGATATACTCATTAATTTGGCCTTTTCTATGAGAGCGGATTCAGAGATGACGCGTATCGCGTCGTATATTAATTTTAATTTGTCAACTATCGGGGAAACGTTCAGTAAGAGTAATACATTTTGATCAAATCTTTCATATGCGAGATATTCATATATAATTCTTTAAGATTTAGTTGATTAGGAAAATCTGAACAGTCATTAAGTGTCATTAAGTACGACTCTTGAACCGTTACACTTGTACAGATAATTTACAAAGAAGAGACTATAGAAGAGATCGTTGAGTGTTAAATTAGATTGATATATTGAAGCCTGGACGATTTAATTAAAAATTATGATAGAGACATGTATACTCTGCGTAACATGCATTTCCCTCTTACCTAAGTAATCAAATAAAATTAAAAAATTTAGTATTGATCCTAAAAGTAATCTGTTCTCTAATCTCTATATATGTATTTGCTGCTGTATGTATTTTATTTTTAATATGTCAGAAAAAATGAAATATAAAATTAGATTCATATTAAGCCGTTTAATTTCTTTCGGTACTTTAGTATTAGCACTACTTCAGTACATTATTTTATTATCTCGGTGATGAAAATTAATGGAAATCTTGACTTTTAATTCAAAATAGATATTACGAAATTTTAAGTTATAGGCATAAACTATTAGATGAATTTATTTCAGCTGTTCTTATATAAATATAAATTTTTGGTTCTGCTATGCTATCTATTATTATTCAAAAGAAAAACGGCACGTTTTTATCTAAAGTTAACACATCTTTCTTGTCGAAAATTCGTTTTCCAACGAATACGTCAGCGACTTTATATGAATCATTAGATTTATATAGCACATTGTTCACAAAATGTCGATTGGTACAAAATAGTATTTTGATTGCTCTTAACAAATTTAACAAAATGAAACTTTATAAGTACAAATGTAAATAAAACTATATAAATACAAACGTACTCATCTGGGCGGCGGTGTGGTCTAGTGGTAGAGCGCCAGACTCGTAATCTGAGGAACCAGGTTCGAGTCCACTAGAGACATGAATCATGGAAAAGTTTTTTCCGAAAAAAACCGCGCCCCTCCGTGCAGATGCGGAGAAAACTGGGCTCCGTCTTTCGGAAGAGACGTTAAACCGTTGGTCCAAAGTAGGAAAGTAGGAAACAGTAAGGTGGTAGTAGGATGAATTGAAGGTTAGGGTTGGGTACGTCCCTTCAAAACGCCCTTTAAGGCCCCTTGGGGTATATAAAGTAAAATTCTTTATCCTTTTACAAACGTACTCACATTAGTCACACTGAATAACAGAAGAGAAGGCTTGACAATTCAAGGTTAAACCTAGAATTACTTTCATCACAGTTACAAATACAAATACGAGCGTATCATTTTGCTTAAGGGGTATAATTAAAATATTATATTATAGATATTATATATTAATCTCTTATATGTTTACAAAGAAAGTCGACGTGTTTATCAGATATCGATGTGCGTTTCAATGCGTGTCGGATATACTTTTCGAGAAATTCAATGTAGTGAAAACTGCGCAAGCTAATCGTTGCGTCGTTTATATTCGACCTAAATTATTTAGGCCGCCTGCTGTAAACACTTGAAAGGCACGCGGACCTGGCTTTAGGTCAGGCCGCGTGTTTTAGTGACTCGACCCAGGTCAAAGTAATGACCCAAGAATTCAAAGTAATTAAAGAAGCGTATACTTTTGAGTTACCTGCGCGACGATAGTTAAGAACCTTAAATTCTACGTTCCACAATCAAGGAGCTATAATTTTTAGGTCCCTTTCCTTGGCCGTTTATTGGAAATGGATATTATTTGAAAAAATTAACGCGTCAACTCGGTGGACAACACATTGCTTTTCTGGAACTCTGCAAGACATATAAGAGCGGCATCATAAGTTTACGGTTGGGTACCAGCAACGTCATTGTTGTCTCGGACAGCAAGCTTATACACGAAATGTGCCTTTGCGAGAAGTACGATGGACGACCATGGAACGAATTTATAAAGCTACGAAACATGGGAATGAGGAAAGGTAAAACGAATCCGATTGGAACTTGCCATATTGAAGTTTAGAATTTGGTTGAAACGTGGTTTCTATATTTCAATAAAGAATTATATAAAGAATTAAGTATAGTCTTATCAAACAGATCGATATCGCGATTTTCGTCGAGAGAAAAAAGTAAGAGGAGGATGAGATTTTTTTCTATTTTGTGTATTAATGCTCAAGCAACGTACTTACATGCACGAGCGCGTGCATGTTTATTGTATCTTTCGTTTTACTTGGATGTACGTTGCCGGTCTTTAATATTTCTATTTTTAGGCAAAAATGAGAGTATACATTGCACTGTTAAATTCGTAGTTCCAACGTATACTCACGTTGAGTCATTTAATATTTAATATTTAACTTTTAATATTTATAGTCCTTAAATATTTAACAGTATATATTTTAATAAAGGTAAATAAATTTAAGTTTTTTTCAGTGCCGTCCAAAATCTAGAACATATGAACCTTATAAATTTAACAAATAAGGAATAGTGAGAGATGAGGCACGCGGAGCCACGCGCGGTATATAGTCAATAAGATAAAATATATTAGTCAATGCATATTCGGACGTTGCGATACTTTCTTTGTGTTATCTTCAGCGTGTAAACAAATTTATCTTATTGACTTATTTAGGAGAGTCTATATACTTGGTTTATTATTTTCAAATTTAATTTTTCTTGAAAGAAATAGAGAACAATCTGAACAATTCGCTGAATCAGCGCTTCGAAGAAGAGATTTCGATGCGATAACACGTACAAGGAGAAAGAAAGAAATTATAGTAAGAGCCGTTAAAGATCACTGATTAATCAGAAATCACGATTATCAGGGATCACGATGAACGACGGCACCGAGTGGAAAGAATTGCGCGTTTGGGTGGTACGAACTCTGAGGAGCGTCGGTTTCGCCAAGCAGGCGATGATGGACCTGCTCGTTGACGAAATGACACTCATCCTGGAGAGGCTGGCGGATGGCGGAGTGCGACAGATACGACCCGCGATCGCGCCCGCGGTGATAGATGTCCTCTGGCTAATGATCACGGGACGGAAGCCATCCGAGAATCTCCCGAGGTAACGTGTGAAATCGTCCCCGGACAATCGGAAGATTACACTTCCTCGACAACTCGCGCGGCACTTCCGCGATTGTCTTATTTCCGGGTAACTCGAGGAAGTCTCACTGGTTCCGCGATTGCTCCTCAGGTTACAGAAGTTCATGGATCTGCTGGATCGTCGCGCGCAACAGTTCGATTTGACCGGTGGGATTCTGGCCACTTTCCCCTGGATACGTTACGTCGCGCCGGAGATGTCGGGATACAACATCCTCATCGCGTTAAACAACGAGCTGAAGAACTTCCTAATGGTATATACATATACGTAACGTAACCCCCCCTCCCCCCTCAATGACCCACGATGTGGTCAATACAATTTCGGCTTCTTACTCGTCCGATACTTAAAATTATTGATCGCGTCGGATCTCGCATCTCGTGTTTTATCTGCAGGACACTATCAAGGAGCACAAGGAGCGGTACGTCAAAGGAAACGAGGCGGACTTTATCGATATGTTCCTCTATGAGATGTACAACAGCGAGGAGCATCGAGACAAAGTTTCCCTGTTTACAGGTGCGAGCCCCAGTTGCTTTCTTTCACCGAGCGGCCGGGGCCGCTTAAAGAACACCGCGGCAATTTTCTCGGGGTATTTGCGAGGAAATTAACGCTTCCTCCCGGCGTGCCCCGTCGCGTCGGTGCGTTAATGAAAGCACCGTGCGCGCGCGAGAGAAAGCCAAGTACTCGTCGCGAGCCCCCGCGATGCCCGACATACGTGCCCATCATCTCTTCTGTTCTTTTCAGAGGACAATCTGCTCGTGACGTTGATCGACTTCTTCATCGCCGCGATTAACAACACGACGTCGACTTTGGATATTCTTTTCTTGCAAATGGCCAATCATCAGGATGTGCAACGCAAGCTGCACGAGGAGATCGACGCCGCGATCGGTCCCCACAGGTTTCCCAATCTGAAGGACAGAGTCAAGTAATAACGGCGTAATTTTGTATCTTTAAGAAGAGCGCACGTCCTTTTTCAAATTGTCATATTATTTTGGGGGGAAGGAAGGGGGACATTGTCTCTTCTCATGGCTTTTCGATTCGAGAAATTATTTAATTTATATTGAATTTCAACTTAATCGCAGAATGCCCTTCACGGAGGCGGTATTAACCGAGTGCCAACGCATATGGCTCGTCACACCTGTAATCGGACCACGTCGCGTTCTTAGTAACACTACTCTCGACGGTTACGAGATACCAAAGAACACCACCGTCCTTATGAATGTGTATTCGAACAATATGGATCCGAAATTCTTCCCCGATCCGACTTCGTTTAGACCGGAGAGATATATAAACAAGGATGGAGCTTATCAACCACATGACAGTATTATACTGTTCGGAAAAGGTCAGTAAATTATTACGAGGTTTAAAGAAAAACGAGATTGTTATGAGAGAAACAACTAGCTGTTGGAACGTCTCTTTTGCGAAACGGAAATGATCGCTTCGTTCACGTGCGACGTTAATGTGCTTAATTGCGTTTAAGCCATTCTCGGTGTCGCGCCGTAACGCATGTACATAATTACGATACCTACCTCTTTCTTGTTTTCTTTCCGGGTGCTTCACGGCGCGACCGGAAGGTCGAGGAATGCCTTTCACGCTGAGGAAAAAGGCGAACGGTACTCCTCTCTGAATTTAATGCTCGCACGGGATCCTCTGAATAACTGCACGAATAATAGCGATCAAATCTCGTGAATCAATTATCTTGACCCATATTTCACCGTCCGAAGGAAGAATCTTCTTTTATCTTTTTTTTTCCTTAGGAAAGAGAAGATGCCCCGGAGCAGCTTTGGCAAGATCGGCTATATTCTTACTGTTTGTCGGGGTAATGCAGAAGTATCGTTTACTCCCGGTGCCAGGTAAAAAATCTATTAAAATGGAACTAACCACCGGATTGACAATTGCACCGAAGCCTTACGAAATGTTAGTCGTTCCGAGATAAGATTACATTGCACACTTAGGTAAGTGAGAGGCTCTCATTTTGAAAATGTTTCGCGTTAGTTTTATCAAATTGACGCGCGTTAGCGCGTACGCTACGATTCTTTTAATGTTATTTTATTCTTTGTTTCGTTATACTTTTTTGAGATACGTATATACGTATGTGAACAGAAGAAAAAAGAAAAAAGAAAAAAGCAAAAGAACGAAAGTATTATACACACAGATCTTACATATACGTACACTTGTATCTTCTCTCTTCGTTCGCTTATTTTTTTTTAAATAGTATTAAAAGCACTATACACACACAGAATAGTATACGAGAATTTACCGAGCTGGTGTCACATTATAAATGTAAATACGAATTTACTATAAATTAAAATATTGTAGATTACATATCAAGTACGAGTTTTTTTTTTGTAGTTTTATTTACAAGCCATTCCACTACAATTTTATTACAAGACTTTTTTTTAAAGCTTCTGCCGTCCTACATGCTGAAAGGAGACGACAAACCGACCATGTTAGAAGGCGATAGAAGTATCGGCTGTGTATCTATAGAGACCCTCGAGTGAAACACACGTCTTTCACGTAGCCGCGTGAGAGCTAGTAAATTGCTAGAAATGCTCGCGGCACATTTCTATTAACTTACATCCGTTTATTGAGGCTGTCATCTACCTTTCATACTCGCGTCTAGCATTTCAAACCGCGCGAATAAGTAATCGAAATCGCACCTTCTCGCGCGTCGCTACATTTGTCGTGAAATGCTCTACATTACTCTACAATATGCCACGTGCTGCGAATAAGATATATTTAGTTCTCAGAAATCGTGCTTCCTCGCACGTTCCAGAGCTCGCAGGGGACGTGCAAGTAACGAGCGTGGGACAGCAGTTTTTTAAAACACATGTTTTTCCGACTTTGAGTAAAAATATTAAAAATAATTGTTTTAATCTTTGGCTTGGAAATGACTATTTGATGTCTAACAGGACATAATAGCTTCTGCCTGAGGAAGTACGTTCGTCCGAAGTCTTTTTTTTATCTCTACTGTTAATGGAGACACGATTACGCGTTATCGTTTCGAGTTAAATCGGCTGCGCCGCACGGTCATTAGTAATCTTACGAGTTGCCTCGTATTATGTATAATGCGTTATGTGTTATGCGCGTTACGGCGCGAGCTGTTTGACAAAAAAGATATTCGTTTCCGTTAACCGATCCCGTACATGGCGCGGCGCGGCCCGGCCCGGCGTTTGCGAATGGCGTTTATTGGTTCTACGCCGTGAAAGTCTTGCTTTTACGCGGACGCTTTACGAGTTCGACGAAATCGTGCCCCTTCGCAGAAGTCCAAATGTACCGTCATGTGCTCTCGCGCGGGTCACGTGGCGTTCGGGGACCGCGGGGAACGCGTCGTCCTCTTCGTCAGCTTGAGGTAGTACGGTTTCGGCGACAGGGTGAAGCCGTCGTAGCCTTTCAGGCTCGGCTTGGCGTGCTCGGCCGATAGCTCCATGTCGAAGTAATGCACGACGTAGGTGAAGAACAGGAACAGCGAGGAGCGCGCCAGCTGCTCGCCTAGACAGCGTCTCTTGCCTGAAACAATCCACCCGGCATTCCCGCGATTAGTTCCAAACAATGGGGAATTGATTATCTCTCGCCTTTTCCTCGCGAAGGCAAAAGGCTGAAAAATTTGCGCAATATATATGGAGAGAGGCTCGGGCTCGGAGTAGAAATGACTTTTACGAGAATGATGGTTGCGAAAGTGGGACATTAGCATAAACTATATTCCGACGTGTTGATTACGTCTCTCGAAGTTTCCTTTGTTGAAATTTACCTAAACCGAAAGGTATGCTGTAGTTGCTCCGACAGAATTGGCCCTGCTCGTTTAGAAATCGTTGCGGTCGGAACTCATCCGGTCGATCCCAGTACGTCTCGTCATTGTGGACGCTATGATAATCGAAGAGAACAATCGTGTCCTGCAAAATATTAGCTCGCTTGTAATTTGGACGCGCAATTTTGAATGCAATAAGCTTATCGATAATCGGAGAACTTTGATATATACACGAACAGGTATATCTAATATTTTATTTCTTCGCTTACGTACTGACGGGCTCAAAGAACTCGGCAAAAGTACGAAGCATACTGCGTAACTTATTATTTCAGAAATAAATATATTATTCATTTCTTTGAAGAGGACGTAAATTAGAAATATTGATTCTTATATATCGAAATTTGCTAGTTATCCGCAATCAGATACGGTCTATTACCTTGGGTATTCGATAGCCGTTCAAAGAAACGTCCTTCGCAGTACTGTGAGGTACGCCGAGTGGAGCCAAAATTAGATATCTTTGGACCTACATTAAATATACCAATTTTATACTCGTGTCATGTTTCATTTATGCTGCAGAACATCGATATCGTCCCGCATTTAAGCATTTTCTCAATTACTATAATCGTATTTTTATTGATAATTATATGTTTTATTAATCGAAGCCTTTATTTATTTTTTTATACCGTCATAAAAAATGTCAATTAAATCAGAGTAATATTTATTTTCTAATTGTTATTTAAATCAGATTTTCTGTAGGAAGCTCTAACATGTTAAAAAATTATTTTTAATATAGAAATATTTGAAACAAAATTATTTATTGATAACATCATATTTTGTAATAAGGTTTCTCTTGAAAATATCGACCGTCAGTGACAGTTATATACTTCGTCGTAACGCGTTTGCACCCAACAGTCTATGTCTTGTAATTTATATATCTCTCTCTTATATTACCTCGGCTAAGAAAGCTTCCGTTATTGGCAAAGATGGTAAATCTTCTTCGGTTGGAGCTCGCGACCTACCGACGACATCATCCAGCTCTGTTTGAAGTACCTTCAACCATTCGGGATTCAGCGATAGGAAGAGAAACGTAGTTGCTAAGGTGTCAGTGGTCGTCTTCGACCCAGCCAGAAAAAGGTCGAGACACAATATCAATAAATTCTCACCTGCGGCATAAAACGTGCGCATGTATATGTCAACGGTAATTTATTACTTACTTCGTCGTTAGGTCGTTACACAATGTGAAAATTACTCAATCTAAGGGAAGAAAAATATTTAACATAATTTAACACAGTATTTCTTACTAATTTCAATTATTCTACAGAACATAATTCCGAAAAGGGAGAGAAAGAGAGGAGGAGGGCGGATTTGTCTTTTAAAACTTGGCGAAATCATCTCATTGTCAGACAACTCCAACTCTAAGATTTTTGACGCAAATAAAATTTAATTGTATAAATCAAGTGAGATAATTTATTAAGTAAGCTTCATGTTACGCGGCGTATTAACTCACGATCAAATATCGTGTCTTCATTCTCGGTGTTTCTACGGATCTCCAAGAGAAACGCGTCAATCAGATCGCGCGGCTCATCGGATAACTCCCTCTCGTGTATCTTGATCTCCTCATCGAGGAAGCTCCATAGACTTTCGAGAATCCTCATTAACTCGTTATATCCCGATAACTCCGGGATCACGAAACGTAGAAAAGGCATCTGCGAAATTACTCCACCCAGGGTATCCATTAGTCTGTGTAAAATATCAAGTAATATGTTTTATCTTGCAAAAATAATATTATATATTTACGCTGTCTTATTTCGCCGTTAAAACAACGGGTTCTCGTCAGGATTTACCTGAAGGCATCGTGAACCAGTACGAGCGCCTCTTGCAGCTTTTGGTCCTCATATTCGAATCTGTGCCCGGCTATCATGAACCACAGAGAATTCAGTACCGCGACGTCGAATGCCGTGTGCATCATCACCGCGCCGCGCTCGCTCATCTCCCGCAGATGAACGACGAAATTCCGAGCCTCCAGAGTCATCTGTTCCTTTAAAATCGACTGACCTATGCCGAACGTTCGCAGATGCCGCATCGTAAATCTGCGAACCTGCGTCCACGTGGGGCCCTCGGTGAACAGAACGCCTTTAACAACAAATACGCGCTTGAATAAAACGAAGTTGAATGAAAGCGACATGAAGATATATTATTCGCTCCACGTTCTCATCGTTGTTAAAAAGAAAAAAGCGGGTATGTTTTCAGAATCTTCGGCGTGTTAATTTCAAGGAGTTAATTCCGAGTTTTCGTTTACCGATATATAAGTAGCGCGCTGCGTACCCTTTCTCTTCCCGAACGATCGCACCCTGAAGAAAAATCCGTCCGGTCGGCTGTTGAATTCATCCCGGAGAAGCGTCTTCTTCACCAGATCGTACGTTGAAATCACCACCACCTTTTGATTTCCAAGCTTTAATCCTAATACTGGTCCGTACGTTCGCGCCAGTTCTTGCATACTCAGATAAATGTATCCGTGTTTCGAACGTAGCCATTTGAACTTGAAGAAACATCCGAAGAACGGTATCCACGCCGGACCTGTGTGCAGTGTGCAATGTCAATTTAGCGTCCCGCAATTAGAGGCTTGACTTTAATGACATTAATTTAGAGTCATTATGGTATTTTCGCTCAGCGAAATTGTCGAAAGAGATCGTCGGCGTATGTGCCATTACTTGCCATTAACATTATTATAGAATATCTTTTCTTTGTATGTAAATTTTATAGATTAATCTTCCTAAAGCCCCTAAAGGATTCTCGTAAAGTAAAATAAATTAAGCTATTTTCTTTTAATAATCGCCTATGAACGCATCAGATATCATTTTTGTAACACCACATGTCCACAAAAGTACAATTATAACGACTATTTCTATATATATTTGTCACGCTATACACGCATTCCTCAATCGAGTGACTAGCCTGATGTTTATGGATACATCTTTGATGGTATGACATTATACGGAGAGATAAGAACTCTAAATTTAGACAAATGTGAAAATTTCGGTGATAAATTTTTTCACAGTCGGAAATAAATTCCATTTAAGAAGAAGAAACCGTGTCATTTATAGCGGAACTAAAATTTAGAAAAATAAAATTAAATATTCAAGAGACTTTGCGTGCCCTACAACTTTCTCTCGAAACATCGGCTTTCTGAAATAGGTACTTTCAGGAATATTAACTTGTAATATGTAGGTAGAAAGACACTTTTTAAGCTATTAACATCTACTTTCAGCGTGAAACTTTTTAATTGAAGCGTAGAAAAAGATATGTATGTGAAAGCCATAAAACTACAGTAATTGTGTGTTCAGGTACTACGTACTACGTGCACGTAACACCAGACTGAGTTCACTGAGAGTGTCAATAATTAATAGTCGAGTTTTACTTCACTCACCAGGTGGATAATTTTTCGGCTTGATACAATCGTAGATGCAGTAGAGGCAAGCGAGGGTAGAGAGAAGGGAGAAGATTATCAGGAACAGCATTTTTGGATGTATCGAGATGCGCCACTTCGTAACTTCTGCCACGGTAACTTGGATCGGTCTGTGCTATATATATATGTGCATAGACAATACATGTACATATGATAACAAAACAAAACTAGCTATGATCTTATCGATATATGACCCCTATGATCCGGATAAAAATATCGTTTTATGTTTGACTACGTATGTACCTTTTCGGACGAGTGCGCACGCTCTCGCATGGAAGCTGGCTATTGAAAAACGACGATATTTTTCTTTGCGATTTGACCGAGTCGTACCTAAATAAAATAAAAATTGGCGATCGATGAAAGGATTGCGCGAGAATCCGTATTTGGAATTACTACATCACACGCGAGCACGAAAATTCGTTTTTTCGAATAATATATTAAATAAGAATATTAATTCTTATTAAATTTAAAATATATGCTACATAACTACTGTTCTTTGTATCAGAAATTAAATAAGAGACCGAATTAAGAACGTTACGTTGAAATTAACCAAGTTAATTAGCGAGTTTGGGATGAATTCCTTTGGCAAGTTCTCGAGGAGAAAACGACGTCAGGCTAATTTGTTTGGGAATAATAAGCTTGCCAAGTGATATCCTTGATCGTAATTTCTGGTGAAAATCAAGTCGAGGTGACGCGGGTAGCGCATTATGTTCTCACCCGCCGTGTGAAGCCTATGCGCGATACCTGGAAATCTCCTATTATGTTGTAAAATGTCTGTTATCACGATAATCGGCCACCGCGCTTACGGACCACAATTTACATACGAATGCCCGACGCAGAAATAACGTAGAAAAGAAATTTCTTAAAAGAAACAACCTTGAGCATGTTTGTCTAACAGTTTGTTGTGTCGGCAACGCTTTGAGGAAAGTCAAAGCACGATACGTTTAGCTATTAGATACAAAAGAACAGCCGTAATATGCGAGAGCTACGCGGTATTCACGTATCTCGCACTTAATAATAACGAAATAATAACGAAACTTCCGGAAGGAAAGACGGCAGCAGACGGAAGATGGATGTCGCGCGTAACTCCCACGAAATTTTGCTTGCGCGCGAAAACCCGTCGGACGAAAGTAAACGTCGGACAAAAGTGAAAATTTGTTTCCTGTGTGTCATATCAGGGAAACGACGCACAGGGAAACGTATCACGATTTCTCTAATTCTCTTCTTTTTTTTTTTTTATTTCCTTGTTCGGTCGCCAGGCGATCGGAGAAAAATCCACTCTTCCGTAGTTGGGCGCCAGTGAAATCTCGTTGTCATCGTCATCAATCGAGCGGAGTCTGCGTCGCGCAATGTGGTGCGGCCTACCGGGAGTACCGGGGACGGGCAGCACGCGGTGGCATGGATTAATTTATGCCGCTGTGTGGGTGCACGGATACTTTCTCCATGGTCGGGGTCCTCTACATGCTGGTCGCCTCTGCCTACCATAACAGACTCCACTTTCTCCAATTTCGCAGGGATACGTGCGCGTATTCGCGTTGCATCATCCTCATAAGTAAGCTCGCAACGATGGCGATTTACTTTGAAATTAGAATGACCAATTTAGATAGTTTGTTTCCTGAGGAAACGAGTATTGAGGTAATAAGATGATAATAAGGCTCTTAACTTCGGCTCTTCTCTTCGATGTATAATGTAAAAGAATAAAATCAACATCCGACTAATCACCTGTAAAAAAAAGCAATTTTCTCAGGGTTATTTTTATTTTTAAAATAAAAAATAATGCATTAACTTTATTGTTATTCGATACTTGATTCGTTAGATTATATAAACGATATGCAGCTTGCTTATCTTCTTTAGTTGTTCCATTAAGTTTGTCGAAGTAGGTTGCCATATTTGAAGCTTTTATAGCTTACAAGAGACGCACGCGTCACTTAAATGCTTTCTTTCGTGTAAAGTAATTCTAGATAATGTTTCTTGTGTCGCTCAATTATCTCCCATAAGGCGTAATTTATCTTGCTCGCGCTTATCCTTTTTCCGTAATCAAATTATACGAAGCGATAAAGTTGATAATGTGTAAAATATCTCAATGCTTTCTCCCATTCAATGGTACGTTGTTATACATCTTTCTAGAAATCTAAAATAGGAAATTAAATTTAAAAGTTCTTGTTTACGAGACGATAAGAATAAATAACAGTTGTCAAATATGTTTATTTACATTTTAGAAGAAAAATGACTAATCGACTTTTAGAAAGCAAACGCGATTATTTGTCTAAATTTAAAAGTGTATGCCAATTATATACGATTGCCGCGCAATGAATATTCAACCGTATTTACTGAATGCACTCGATATCTTAAGTTTTCTCCGTTGAATTCGTTCGACGTACACATTTCCCTACATCTGTAAGGAATTAAAATTTGCATACAATTTTTGTTTTTATTATTGAAGATGTGTTTTCTAGATTCCTCTTCCGCTCTGTATATCTAATGTATCTTTATTCTATTGTCACGTACGTCAAGTAAACAACCAAGTGAAAGTTGTGTTACGGTTCTTGCATATAGAGAGATAACATATATCTGAAGGCTAAAAGGTGAAATAAGAGTCAGAGATTTAACAAAATACTTATAAACTTTATTCGTAACAGTATTAGTTAACAATTGGAGAGACAACAACACGTATATAAAAAAAATGAAAAAACAAAAGAGAGACAATGGTTACGACGTGTAAAGGTAAGGATGGTACCCCGAAGGACAGGGAGCGCGTCAGTCAAGCAATTTCGAGTAACTTAAGTTTTATCGCGACCTTATCTTAATCCTAAGATGTAATATATACAGCGGCTTATGTTACAGCACTCTCCCGGTGGAGATGTTTGTACAAGCATTTTTTTTTTGTGGATTACAGTGCGGTTATTCTGCACGGAAATCTAACTCTATCAACGGCTAGGGAATGCAAAGTTGGCTAGGCCTCCGTTTTGTTTCACCGGCGGTGGTACCAAGTCTTGCGTGATCGTCGGCGAATTCGCCTGGAATGACCTGTCCCAGGCGACTTTATTACTGTCCGCCGGACGTTGCTGCGCCTGTTGTTGTCCCTGCTGCTGCTGCTGCTGCTGCGCTTGCCTCTTTTGCTGGGGCAAGACCCCCTTCTCGGGGCTGTAGGGCACAACTTGCGTGTTCTGAGCCTGCGTGTCCTTGCGATCCCAGCCATGATGATGATGATGGTCCTCGCTGGGGAACCACTCGGATATCCAGACCGGTTTCCATATCTTCTTCCACGCTGGCACCCAGATCTCTTTCCAAGCAGGCACCCAGATCTGTTTCCACGCTTCCTTCCAAGCGAGCTTCTTGTCAGGGATCCACTCCAGCTTCTTGTCGGTCTTCCAGATTTGCTTCCAAGCCTCCTTCCACTCGAGCTTCTTGTCGGGGACCCAGACGAGTTTCTTGCCCGGCTTCCAGATCTGTTTCCACGCTTCCTTCCAGGCCAGCTTCTTGTCCTCCACCCAGATTTGCTTCTTCGCCGGTTTCCAAATCTGCTTCCAGGCCTCTTTCCACTCGAGCTTCTTGTCCGGGACCCAGATCTGTTTTTGCGCCGTTTTCCAATATTTCTTCCAGACCGGTTTCCAGATCAATTTCTTTTTCCAAAGATCATGACTGGTGTACTGCCATCCATGATGATCGGTACCGTGGTAGTGCTCACCCGGTATGCCAACCTTCACCCATTCGGGGACCCAGAGCTTCTTCCAAGCAGGTACTTGATATTCTTTCCATACCGGTACCTGAATCTCCTTCCAAACCGGCTTCCAGATCTTTTTCCACGCGGGCACTTGGATCTCTTTCCAAGCGGGCACTTTGATCGGCACCCAAATCGGCTTCCAGATTTTCTTCCAAGCCGGCACCTGTATTTCCTTCCACACCGGCACTTGAATCTCCTTCCACACGGGCTTCCAGATTTTCTTCCAAGCGGGCACTTGGATCTCCTTCCACACCGCTTTCTGAGTTGGCACCCAGATAGGCTTATAGATTTTCTTCCACGCGGGTTTCCAGATCTGCTTCTTCGCCGGTTTCCAGATCTTCTTCCAGCCCGGCTTCCAAACTAGCTTCTTCTTCCAGTACCCTTTGTCATGGTGATGATCGTCATGGCCGCCGTGATGCGCGTCGAGTCCTCCGCCACCTCCAAAGTCACCTCCTCCGTCTAGATGACCACCAATATCACCGCCTCCACCTGAAGGACCACCACCAATGTCACCGCCACCTAAGTGACCTCCGATGTCACCACCCCCAAAGTGACCGCCGACGTCGCCACCGCCAAAATGACCGCCCCCGTCGCCACCGCCAAAATGACCGCCCCCGTCACCACCTCCAAAATGACCGCCTCCATCGCCACCTCCAAAATGACCGCCGATGTCGCCGCCACCGCCGCCGCCACCGCCACCGAAGTGACCACCGATATCGCCACCCCCATAACCACCGCCATAATCACCACCGTCGCCTCCCCATCGTTTTTGTGCTTCTGTACCGTATCTGTAATCACAACGACATTGATTCAACATCAAACAATTAATAAATCTCATATTCGTATTCGTTACCTTAATCTTCTTCTATGGTATATAGAAAAGCTTTTCGAAATCTGCATAATATGATGTCCAGGTTTATAGATTATTTCCATATCAATTAAAATAAAACGACGATATTGTAAAATGTAATGTACAGAAATAATAATAATAAAAAAAAAAAAAAATTTGAAATGCATCATTAATAATCTCATATATAATTTTCGGGTTAAATCTTTTATTAAAAATAAATTTTGCATCATACTATTATTATTACCAAACATGTTTTTATTAAGGTAACGTGTCATACATACGGAGTTTGCTGCGATTGCTGCTGCAGTTGCGTTTGAACTACGGCTTTGCTCGCCACAAGAACGGCCTGCAGTAGCAGCGCTAGTACAGCCTGTAAACAACGAAATGACATAATGATTCAGTTGATGAACAATTATATTGAAAGAAATCTATTTCTGCCTCTCGTTTCTCATAAATTTTTAACAGCGCCGTAAAATCATACTAAGCAAGTTAAAATAAAAACGCTGGCCGTAACGTTGACAAGTGGAATAACTTTCGAAATTCATCTGCGATCGATCGTATACGTAAACAGAATAATTTTAGTAGCTAATGACGAGATATTTAGTAGTCAGTAATGATATATCCATTGGAACGTAATAAACATTTGAAATAAAGTGGCCTAAAATCCAAAGAGAGATTGACATTTATGCATAAAAAGATTTTCGACAGTAATTCCAAATTCATAAATCCAGAGATTTATAAATCCGTATAAATGAAATCCTGGAATTTAAAGTCGCGTATAATTTTGCAAATTAATTAGGCTTATATACAAATCTATTAAAATAAGAGAAAGAAAGAAGGAAAAATTTATAAGCTGATTTATAAATCCGTGAATCTATAAATATATATAAGTTTACCAGTCCGCAAAAATATTGATGCGTGTTTACGTCGAATTTCTTTGCCTTGACTTGATTATATCGCAACATATCGCAATGCCGTTAAATCGCTAGCAAAAGACCGATACGTCCTGTCCGAAATGGCGACGGTTTACATCCACCAGGCCGAGCACCACGCTCGCTCAATAAACGACAAACGTCGAAGAAGAATGCATCCTCGAACTTGAAGCGACGCACTTTTCAAAAATCTTTCCGTTTTCCGTATGCATCACGATGCGATTATCAAGATCGCGCCAGTTAACCGCGCGGAAGATGTCCCGCGCGAGGCGGTGGTGAGTTCGACCAGGGTGGTAGCGGGCACAACGCGCGCGACACGCCGACATCGCACCGACATCGCCGGATTGAAAGAGTGAAAAAAATTGATGGAAACAACTGACCGCGCATCCCGGGCGAATCCTCATATTTCTCGCAGTGCCGCCCGTCGGGCCGCGTACTCCTGTTCCCTGGGCGCAGGAAAACGTAGCTTACTTCGTCCAATCACCGGAACGTCGTAGTTATATAGGCGCGTATCCTCCCCCGAAGGCACCACCGCGCGCGGTAGCATTGTGGTAAGGAAGCAGCAGCGGTCGGTCGGCGCCCCGGCGGTGGTGGCGAACCGTCGACGGTGGAAGTGGTTCCGTCCGCGCTTCACGTGATGGAAATCGGACACGTCCACCTGTGGAAGGTGGTGGTAGTGCCCGCCGCAGTTTTGGGCCCCGGACCCCTTACGGTTGAACCCTCCTCTACCTCCTCCACCACCTTCTTCTTCCACCATCGAGTCCTCCTTCTAACACCCCCACTTCCGGGCGCGCGACCGGGCCTCCGCTCCATCCAGCCGAGCCGTATCATCCACTTGGAGAAAGTGATCGAGAGCACGATCCGGTCGAGCGAGCAAGAGCGATTTCGTCCTCCAGTTATTCCCGCGCCTGTGTTTCAACGGTGAAGTTCAAGCCTCGCAAGGTTACGCGACAAGGTTATTCCTCGCTCCAGATTATTTCGATATTGCCGGCGAGAGAAAGAACGGAAGCACACGTCGACGCCTCTATAATGTCTTTTACGTTAGATATCTAGAGATAGAGTTTCTCGCTTTCTTTCGAGCCAAAAGAAACTGGTCGCGCTGTCCCTGCTGCAAAAGCAGCACACTATCGGTTTCCTATTAATAGATAATGATGTTAATACAGCGATACACAGATGGAATCTAATAAATTATTAATGATAGCTTAGTATACGCCGTAATATTTTTCTAAGCCGTAACTGGATGATCCATGGTTCCAAAACAGATTTTCAGATCGTTAGTCACTTGTTGCGTTAAAACTATATTTTTCTATGTATATAATAGTTGCAAATGTTTCTATATACATATTCCTTATAAGACATGTATCTCTTATTGACGTGATACATTTTCATTCTCCAAGCATGGCAGGCAGATATTGTTGAAATACATAAAAAGATCTCAGTCACTAGTTTTTTAGACGCTATATATTTAATGCAGTTTATAACTGTGCGTTTAAATTATTCGAAAATTTTATGAAATTATTATTTTAATCGTTTGAAAATTTATACGAGGAAAAAAAGCATTTTACTTCCCATATGTAACAAAGGTATCTGTTTTGCATTTTGAACAAATGAGCTTGAAATGCTATCAAAGTGGTTAACAATGTTTATTATATTTTACACCAAGTAACATTGGCAGAGCATGATTAATACTACAAATATTAAATACTATATTCTTTCTTTAGGAAAAAATTCGATAAAATATAATTAATTTGAAAGTGAAACCCTAAAATCCCAGACTTATCATTACTTGTACGCAAAGGTACGCGTACATATAATGGTGAAATGGAATGGACTTTGCCAAATACAGCGGAATTGCTTGTGAAACGGAATAGATATTTTAATGGGGAGAGCGTGGAATCGGGATCGCGTTCAGAGGCACGTCGGATACCGTCCCGTAACGTAGGAGGAATTACCGACGATCTCGAGGTGCCCTTGCGCCTAATCGCTCTGTTTTGCGCGAAGCTTACGACCGCGCGATTTTCTTCCAACAACGACGGCTCCTCGGCGCGGCGTCACGGAGAGAAAGCGCACCGGAGAACGGTTTCGTGCATACGGAGTGTGCAAGCGCATTTTCCGCTTTTTATCGCGGGGACAACAATGCGCGGCTGCGGCAACGAGCAGCCGGGAAAATTAGATCTAACGAGGCGGCCGCGCCGTTCGTGAGATTCCAAAGTGATAGCGAGAAGCGAGAATACCCGGGCACTCTCGCTCGCTGGGAAACGATATCGAGAGCGATATCGGGGAGGAACGTCCGTCGGGGACAAGGAGTAGAAAACGAAAAGGCATCGGAGATCGGCAGGCGCGTTCGAGTGGCGTTTAACGGTAGACGTTAAACTGCGTTAAGTGCATATATCCGTTTAACACGTCGCGTCGCGTCGCGTCGCGTCGCGTCGCGTCGACTCACAGATGAAAGTGAATTCCCTCGCGCGGACCGCTAGAGAGTCGACAGCCTCGACAGCCTCACGCATGAAACTCGGGGTACACGTTCTCGCTATTCCGGTTCGTAAATCACTCACCCGTTGGCGTTGCCCGTTGGCTGCTCCAGTTTTTCGAACCCACAGGCATGAGAGCAATCTCCGGGCGAAAACGCTCGAAAGGGGGAACGTTTGTTCGACCGTTTCCTGCGCCGCAGGATATTATTCGCTTTCAATCGCTTATACGAGTACGCTCATAATTAATATACGTTCGCACGAAAGACTTTTAAATGTTAACCCTTTATAACTACGGGTATTATGTATTCATAAGCGATCCCCGCATCGCAGCATATCTTAAAATTGTAAAATCGCTTATTGACGACAGCCGTAGTGGAAGGGTTAAAGAAATATGGAGAAAATTCCTTGAAAATACTAATATTTTTTACGTATATTATCTTAAACTCTTGCCATCATTTATACTTTGGAGAACATGGAGAACTTGTTGGAAAGCTTCTTCATTCCAACTCCTTTAAGCCCCTTAAGTTTGATGGTAACAACCTTTAGATACGTTCTGCGTAAAAAATTGAACATTCTTCCTACATCTTTACATACAATCAGATGAAAATATTCTGACCTTTCCGGATGAAATCTCACCGCGTTGTGAGGAATCGTCGTTGTACGCATAAATTATTATTAACTTTCGTTCCATCGAAATGCGTCTTACGCATCTCTCCCGCGGTACTATTCTTATACCTTTATTACATTTTTTATCTTTCAGAATCTCTCATGGGGCACGGTATAATTAGGGAGAAATTTGAAACTCGAGATGAGATAAAACGGCAATATATAGGCAATCGGAATGGACGAGATAGGAAACGGATTCGTGCGCTCTACCGCGCGCGAGTAACCCAAATAACGTACAAGAGGACGCGTTGCTCGAGAGGCCCGCGGTATCTCCGTACATCTCGAGGGTCGGAACATTTAGAAAGTAAAAGCCGATATTGGCCGATACGTCGCGAACCAGCTTGAGGTAGAAATTCCGGCCCGAATTTTCTATTTACACTTGTCTTGGGATTTTTCAAACGTCAATGACAAACTGTCCATGTGTAAACGAAGTCATTCACCAAAGTCGCGAGAAGGCACCTTTGCTTCGAAACCTTTGCCGACTCGTTAGAAGTGGTACCGTCATTAGATAATCGCGCATAAATCAATATTTGAAACGGCATGTTAACCCAACCGTGATCTCGTTCTATTTTTATTTTATTATTCAATCATCCGTTTGTCCGCCAATACTGTTTGGCTGTATAAACTTCCGTTTTTCTTTCTCTCTCTCTTTTTTTTTAATATCTCATATTCCATTTACAAAAGATCGAAATGAACTTTTCATTCACGTATTTCGATCACGTTCTTGACTGATTTTCACTTTTTTATTCCGGTCTTTGCGGTCTAATTAACTGACGATTTGTTTCTGAAGACCGGAACAAGTTCTTAAGTGCCTTAAATGCTTAATTAGCCTTTCTTATTCCTGTTGTTCTGCCTGTTACTTTGCGGTTAGGCTATTAAAATTCTTTCACAATTTTACACCGACTTTATCGATCTACGCAAGCATCTCAAGTGCTTGATTTCAAATACCCGATGCAATTTGCTGCGCACACCGCTGAAGAAAGTTCGCGGAAGAAAGTTAATCTTTCGAAATCGTGATACGAGAAAGATAATTTACGTTTAAATTTCTTCGAAGCTCCAAAGATTGATGATGATCCAAATACCTAAATCAAAAGCCTGTCAATGTAATTATGTGTATTCAATCAAGTGTTGAGGTTCACAACCAATACATACATCTTTTATTTAATAAAAGCATTATTGTTTTGCCAAGTGTATCTATTAATCAATATAAACTTGGCAAAACAATAAACGACTGATGTTCTCCAATGTTTTATAAATATTAAAATACTTTGTCAGATTTTTTATCTTGCTGTAAATTATTCATATATAACATGCAATTGTGAGGCCAAATGAGCTTTTAATTGCGAGCTATATTGTTAAATTAATCAGTTTGAGTCAAAGTTATATGCTACAAGATTCGTCGTATTTCAGCGTTGACGCCGCGTCGTTAAATTAAGAGATAAATGTTGCAGGGGGGAGGAGAGATGGTCATCTTCAGTTTGTGACGTGCGAGCGGCATATTATTTCGCGAGTGAAAAGTCACGTTGCGATGGCTCCGAAACCGCGAATGACGTCGAGCATCCGTAATGACGTTGCGTCCCGCGTTGCGGTGACTATAAAAAGACACGTTACGCAATCGTCGTGTCTGTCCTCGCGCGCTATTAATTATGTATGTCGACCGCGCCGCGTCGACCGCGATTACGCCTAAGACCTCGCTAATCAATCACGTACGTAATTTAAATTAGCCCTCTTAACTTAATATAGCAACATCTGCATATATATCGCGTCCGTGTGTATATCGACAACTATATAGGTACTCGCGAATTATTCGCGCATCGAGAATTCAACGATCCCGACGCCGCTCATCCGTGCAATTCGGACAGCTTTCTTTGCAGGACGAAAAAATCCCAAGTCCCACGAGATGCTCGTGATATGAGATACCTACGCAAATTCCTTCCGGTTTTTCAAACAGCTCTCTAAACAGGTATGATCGCTCTAGTCACGCAATCAGTTTTCACGCCGCACGCGATGTAAATACTTTTCATTCAGGAATCAGAAACATGATCTCACGCGAACAAGAATGAAAATACTCACAACACTCCGTATGCATGTGTGCAAAGATTTAAAAAAATATATATTACCTCTAAACTAGATGAGGATTTATTTATTCTATGTATTTCGTACATCTTTAGAAAAGTATTTTCAACTTGCTGGGAGATCGGCGTTTATGCAATCGGTAATGCAAACAATTTTGAATACTTGGGCAGATTAGACTTTAGAGGAATGAAAGATTGGAATATTCATGTCACTAAATTGTCATTAATCACAATTTATTAC